TTCTTAGAACACGCAAAATATCTGCTGCATAATTGCATTAGTTAGAAATGTTACTTGATCAGAAAACAAATTTGCCTACCATTATAAAAGAAACATAGGAGGTCAACAATGGAGCAGTGAATTTCCCAAACAAGCTGTGCATGAATTCAATCATCTTGCTTTAGTGGGCAATAATTTCATTGGACTAGACTAATTGTCTGACAATGATGGCCTAACAACCTAACATGAAGCTTGGAAATAGGACTTGAGAGCGTCTTAAATGCTAATGATGATGGTCTAATCACATCCTACAACTTAGAGCTAGCTGTCCAGCTTAACACAAACTGACCAGTCTTTCTGAGGTTCAGTGTTAGAGATGTTTAAACATACATAGTTATGCACATGCATAATCACTGCCTGAAGAAAGGCTTCTTCTTCTCTCTCTCTCTCTCTCTCTCTACAAAATGATTGATTATTTTCTAGCCAGAGAAACAACTTATTAACAGTTTAGCTAGTTCCATGATCTGAATTCTTGATGCTTCCAAATGTAAAGTAAATGACAATGTTATTCTCAAAAAAGTAAATGACAATGTTTCACTAATGACCATGGATTTGCAGCATGTGAAATATTCAGAAAATGTGAGGAATATGCAGAGAGACAGCAACAAATCATATCGGCTTAGGATTTACTCGAAGATGAATCTAGCCTCTGCTCATGCCTGTGGCTCTGAATTTGTCTGAACCTGGCAAGAGATGACGACATCTGCACGATTACAGATTTACAGTTACTGTCACGCCCTGCATACACATCGGACAAGAGAATTGAAGCCGGCCTGGCTGGACAGGACCATGCGAAATTGTCTGAATATGAATATATTTGCAGATGCGGATGCAGCCAGGGTCAATGCTTCTTTCCAAGACGCCTGCTTAATTTCTGTCCGACTGTACGGCCGGAACTTATTATTAACCATCATTTCTGAAGATTAACCACTGCATTTGCAAGATTTATAATTACTCAATGAATCTTCCTTTGAGAGATGCAGTTTTGATCTTAGGTTGTTGTGCAAACGAGCAATAAATCAGCTTAGTTCCAGCAATCAGTTTTGATCTTAGCTAAAACTGAGTGGGCAGAGATCAATAACCAGGAATCAGCTGCAAATTAAGGTTGTATTTGACAGGAAAGAAAATGAGAAAATTGAGAAGATATGTGAAATGAGATGAGCTATTAGCATAGGGTTAATTAAGTATTAATTATTTTAAATTAAAAAATGGATTGATATTTTTTAAAGCAACTTTCCTATAGATTTTTTAAAAAAACAAAAAAATATACCATTTAGCAATTTGGGAAGCGGGCGTGAAAAACGAGATATATCTTCTCTCTATCTGCTACCCAAAGCAAGACTATAACTAATGTTACAAATTTCTATGGATCAGTGGATGTGGATCACACGCTAAATTCTTGTGTGCTACCCACACACGTAATAAGTTAGTCAGCTGAACATTTCACCGTCATAGTGTCGTTCCTTAAGCATGACATAAAGGAGTCTCCTTTATTCATATTTAAAGCATGACATATATCTTCTGACATTTTGAAGGACTTTGGCACCAAAGAGAGCAATATGATCATATGGAAAATGTGATATATTTTTTATATATATAGTTGTTATTGGTTAGGGTTCATAGGGGTAAATATCACCGGGAGAATAGCCGGGCGGTGACGACCGCTAGGAATGAAAAAGGGACTTAGGATATGGGAGACTAATTCTGATTCGTCGCTTAACTAGAATGACAATACAATCCATCCTTATATAGATGTAGGGAAGGATCCAATTTAATCATTTGTAACAAACTCTATCCAACTGAGCTACCATAAGATGAGGGAACCGTTCCCTAGGGATACTAGGGCCTCAACCTCTTGGAACACTAACTGACCTCTCGACCCACTACCTATGATACTACATCATTCCTTTTGAGCAGCTCGAGATTACATCCCTCCTTTCAAGCAGCTCGTCCTCAAGTTGCAGCACGACTTGGCTGACTCAGACAACTACCTTAGTAAAACCTAACATGATGCAAGCCTTTTAAATCTTGGATTCTTTTACTATTTTGAAAGGAAATTAAACCAACGATTATCATAGATCGTTGCATTATGATATTGTCTTCAGTTGTTAGTCTTCCTCCTGGTAGTAAATAAATACCATCGGGAGAATAACCGGGCGACATGGCTACTAGGGATGAGAGAGGGACTTAGGGTTGGGAGAGACTAATTTTGATTCATTGCTTAATTAGAATGATACAATATATCCTTATATAGATGGAGGGAAGGACCTATTCTAATCCTATCTAACATACTCTATCAAGTGAGCTACCGTAAGATGAGGGAACCGGGACACTAGGGCCTCAACCTCTTGGAACACTAACTGACCTCTCGACCCGCTACCATGACACTACATCATTCCTTTTGAGCAGCTCGAGACTACATCCCTCCTTTCGAGTAGCTCGTCCACAAGTTGCTGCACGACTTGGCTGACTCAGACAATTACCTGCCGGCCTCCTCACTAAAGAAGAGAAGAGAGAACAGAGAAAAGAGAAGAGAAGAGGAGAAGAAAAGAAAAGAAAAGAAATATGCGCAGCTGACATGTGGGCCCCACATACTTATTTATTTATTTTTTGTTGACTAGGATGTCACGTCAGCGAAACCACCCATATATACTGTTAAGGGGTACAAGTTTAGGGGTACATATTTCTAGTTTTGTGGTTAAGGGACCTTAAAAAATCTTGTTGTTAAGTTGAGGGATCTCCGGTGAACTTATTCCTTCCTCTTAACTTTTGTTCCTCTACTTGAGCTGAGCTGCAATGTACAAGATGGGCCAAGATTTCCTGATCTGATGCTGTGCCACTGGACTTGGCTGGGTCGCTCTGTACAAGATGGGCCAAGATTTCTTGACATTAAAAAAGAAGGGACTAGCTAGGAGCTCCAATGTTAGGAATAAGTTCACTTTGTGACCCTCAAATGTGATCGAAATCTAATCTGTGACCCTAAACTACAAAACCGGATATCTCGACCCCTCAACTCTTAAAACCGGTGCAATTTGACTCCCTTAGCGGTTTTGGTGCTGACGTGGCACCTACGTGGCGATGTTGACTCAGTCTTCGGTCCACATGGAGTTAACGTGGTGCCTATGTGTACTAGAATTAAAAAAATATGTGTGGGACCATTTGTCATTCACACAAAATGTGGGACCCACTGACATGTGGGGCCATGGGCCCTCTTGCCTTCTTCCTCTTCCTCCACCCTTCTCTCTCTTTTTCTCTCTCTCTCATTTCTCTTCGTCTTCGTATGCAGGCGGTGGTGGGCCCGAGCGGCCGCGGCGGCTAGCGGGAGGGGAGGAGGCGACCCGGCGGCGGCTCGGCGGCAGCAGCGGCGTGCGGCGGTAGGAGGCAGCGTGTGGCGGCGGTATGAATCGGACGTGCCACCTTTACCAACAAGACCCAAGGAAGGGAGTAGGAGGGAGTTGGAGACGGCGACGAGAAGGAGGAGCGCTTGAGCCACCAAGAACTCCATCCCAATCCCTCTCCCTCTCTCAGCTCCTCACACTCTCCCTCTCACCACCCTCCTGCGAACCAAGTAGTGGCAAAGCAGAGTAGTAGTAGCAGACACTGTAGTCACACTTAAAAGCGCAACAGTTGCAGCAGCAGCAGAGCAGCGGATTCAAGTTCGTGGTTGAGGTTGTTGGAGTGTATAAAGTGAATTGCCCACCTTTCCCTATCAGCTTAGGCTTTTAGGTGCAACTGGCTGGTGCATGCAACTTAATATGGTATCAGAGCCAGAGGTCTCGAGTTCGAATCCTGGCTGGCGCGCAATTAAATAAAATAATTGCAGCCCACTCCAATATTCCACACTTGAGACTTGAGGGGGTCTCGCGTGAGGGGGAGTGTTGAAGTGTATAAAGTGAATTGTCCACCTTTCCCTATCAGCTTAGGCAGGCTTTTAGGTGCAACTGACTGACTGACTGGTGCATGCAACTTAGAGGTGACTAGACGCTGGAGGAGTTTCTTGCTTGCTGGGTCAAAGCAAAAAGAAGAAGGCTGGGAATGCCATTAATGACGGTAGGATTCTTTTGAGGATAAGCGGCGGCGACCTGGCGTGCGGCGGCGGTATGAATCCGCCCGACGAGCGCAGGTGGAGCGCGTCGTGGTGACCGAGGACTAGGAGATCAAGGGCGTCGTACTCCGGGATGGCGCATCACCCGGTGATCGGCGTCTCCTCCTACCGCCGCCTCCCCTCCCCTCCCGCTCGCCGCCGCGGCCACTCGGACCCTCGAGCGCCCGCCGCCGCCTGCAGACGAAGAAGAAGAGAAATAGGAGAGAGAAAGAGAGAGAGAAGGGATAGGAAGGGAGGAGGAAGAGGAAGAAAGAAAGAGGACTACATATGGGCCCCACATGTCAATAGTTATACATTATTATTTTGGTGTGAATGACAAATGGGTCCCGCATATATTTTTTCAATTTAGTATACATAAGCGCCACGTCAACTCCACGTGTACCCAAGACTGAGTCAACATCACCACGTAGGCGTCACGTCAACGAAACCACTCTCCAAAACCACCGAGAGAGTCAAATTGCACCAGTTTTAAGAGTTTGGGTCGAGATAACCGGTTTTGTAGTTTAGGGTCACGGATTAGATTTCGATCGCTTTTGAGGGTCACAAAGTGAACTTATTCCCCAATGTTAGTACAAGGAGAAGGAGCATTCTCTCAAATAAAAGGGATAACTTTTTTTTTCTCGTATGAGAACTGCACATCATTATATATTAATATTAAGAAGGGAAAGAGGAAAACTAATCAGCATTCTCCCTCAAATAAAAAGGGAAACTTTTTTTTTTCTCGAACGGGCATCCTGCGTAGCTGCACATCATCATTATATTAAAAAGGAAAACTTTTGTGTTTCTTTGGCAAACCCATTTTTTATTTTTGCTTGTTTGAGTCCATGAAAAGGAAAACTAATCAACAGGACGCATCTACATAAAAAAGATAACAAATCAATAGACTCACAAAATGTTAAATGTGAAACCACTAATCTGTAACATACTCATGCTGTTCTAAGATATAATTAATTCATTTCTTCTAAAGTATCGGTACAGGAACAATGTTTATCAGTAATCCTACAGCTGCTACACCTGAATCTCGCTGAACGATAATGAGTTTTGACTGCTCAGTCAAATCTACCAAGAACTGTGGGACTGTACAGACCACGTACAAAATGACAGCAGATCTTGCTGGCAGCAGTTCTAGCAGAAAAACATGGCCCCTTTCAAATTATCCTTTATAGGAAGAAGACTGCCAGTCTCTGAGGCTGCGCTGCTATCTTCTTCAGAAGGCAAGGAGGTGTGGCTCGTTGAATCGCCAATCGAGCGTGGTTTAATGTAACATCGAGCTCGTGATGACAGAAGACGAGCGTAGTGCACAGGGGCCACTGCAGAGTGCAAAAGAAGAAAAAGGTGTGAATATATATCGTAACCATATATGCTTTTGCTAGAGGAAAAGCACATTTCCTACAGTAAATGATAGTAGGAGAATGTGGGGGCTCGTGCTTACCAACTGATATGGATTGGGTGCAAGTTGCGGAGCTGCAATAATAGGTGACAACTCGTCCGTTAAACCGGTCAAGGGATTTCAAAAATGTAAAAACACATAACAAGTGGCATTCTTACGTGTAGCAGAGGTAGTTTGTGAGCTCTTGGAAAGAACCAGCCAAGAAGTCGTTCTCGTCCCACAGAACATGATAATACCTGGGCCGCTTAGTTCCCTAATGGGAAAATTTTGAATCAGCTAGGAGCGTGTTACAAATGAAAAAAAAAGAAAAAGAATTATTTGGGTAAAGAAGAACTAAGCTCAACCTGCGTGCTGCGGTGGCTACACAAGTAGAAATCAAACTGATTTGGTTGGCAAATATTTGAATCAACCACAGTACCTGAAGTTGGACAAATTCACAGGGGTTAGGAAGAAGGTTTTAGGTTTGACAAGATAGGCAGTACAGCAAACAAAAATTGGCAACTAACCAGCCCGTATGTTTGCAGTTGAATCATGAGTATTCGCATTATAGTAGTCAGCAAACAGACGTGTATGGCGACACTTCTGGAGCACCACGTATGTAACTAATGGATTATAATCGGGTCCCATAGATGCACACGCCTGTTTTTATGGCACAAATTTATCATTTCAAAGAAATAGAATGCAGTGCTCATCACAAAAATGTTCAGAAAGAAAATGTGGGATAAAAACTTCACCATTTTGATGGCACCAAGTTCGTGCATCAAAGCCTGAGGGAGCTGTCCTTTGCTCACACCATCCCTGAAGAGAGCAGTCGTGGAATAATGTCAAATATGTAGACATAGAAGAGATGAGTCCGGCCAGGAGTGTTCTCTGTATGATTCTATCACCTCGGTGTAATCGTTTGTGATCAATAAAGCTCCCTTATCTAAAAAATGAAAAGAATGAAAAGATGAGGCAATTCGCCAGACATAGATTAATACCTGTAAAATATAATCCTTCCGGGCTTCCGTTTAGTGGCTCGATAGAAAGACATGAGATGCTCTCTGCATATAAGACAAAACTTATGTACATAGACTACAAAGACCTTTCAAGTATAGTATTCACATGCTAAAAGGTAACACAATCATTCGTACTTGATCATTCCGCTAGTTGTGGTTCCTCTTTCCGGATCATCCTGGACTTTAAAAAGACCTTGTATTGACTCCTGGTGGCACGCTTGCACACTGATTAAACCAGCATACTTGGTAACCTCGGGCCAGTCTTGAGAAGCAACAACCTGCATAAAACATGCAATTGCTACATATAGCACACATATACACTTAAAAGTTATAGATAAGCAGGACTCCTGCCTCCAGGCAACGGCGTCTTAAATAGTGAGATGTGCACTTACAGCAGCAATGGAAGAACTATTAGCTTTTCCTGGATGTGGATGGGTGACATGAGCACCAAATACAATAGTTGGTGTATCCCTAACATGGGGGAGTCTCATTTCTAAAGCATCAACCAGTACAGTATTTCTTCCGCCCATCTACGTACACAACCAAAGGAATAAATAAGGACCTGATGAATGACCAGTCAAGCAAATAGTACAGCACAACAAACCTTAGCATTGATTTTAAGGGCAACGCTTGCAAGATACCACTTGTTCATCTTAAGAACATGTTTTGCAAGACAACATTGAGAGATCAGTCCAATATCTGTCTCACATATTCTTTTGACATCACCTGTGGATGACAAGTACATTAAATAAAAACCATTAATTGATCAGTCAATGCTCACATGTATTACATAAAGAAACTGCCCACATGTGTTACAAAGTAAAAGGTATACCATAAAGAGATCCATTGTTGTTAGGCAATATTACAATCAGCAGGTCAAGTTTTCTGCCCTGTGGTCTAAGTATGTCCATGACATCGTCATGAAGTGTCCTGAGTGCAGATTCTACACATCCAGGTTTAGCAATCACTAGAGGAAGCACAGGTTTAACTGAAAAGACCTACATTGAGACATAGGGAATATGAAAGGTCAAAATTGTGAATAACTGTGAGGTAAAAAAAATGGAATCACCTTTTGGGTCATAGAGAACCTACCATCCCAGATTCTCGGCACATAAAGCCAAGGTCATAACAGAAATTCCTAGCAGCATACTCCCGTACACTCCAGCAAAAGTTAACACATGCCCAGCTTTTCACTCTCCCACCATTGATCATTTTCTACAACAAAGCATTACCATAAAATTAATTTGCAGCTGTATGCAATATTGCCAAAGATAGAAACTTCTGTAAAATATAATCACAACAGTTCTGAAAAACAAATAATTTGGAAGGAGAAATGCACAATATATGTCACCTCAGTACCTTATGCATCATATTCCATATGCCAAGTTGTGGCAAGAATTCTGTCGTCTCGCCACTGTCATGGAATTTAAGCTGATAGAAAAAGAAAAGTCAGACCTACAGCATAACACATGCAACAGACATCGCAATCAGCATATGTAAATGACTGTTAAGACATACCCAAGGAGCAGGTAGGATGCGAGATTTAATTGATACAAGTTTTTCCTCAATTTTAATGCCAAACTCTTTAGCATGTGGGTCCTCCTGGTATTTGTTCTGATGCACAGTCTGGTAACCAAAGACATAACATGATAAGAAAATCTAGAGCATAATATGTTCTTTTCCAAAAGAACATGATAACTAATTACATGTAAAACTGGAAACTTTAATCCGCATATGGTGGCCTACTTTAAATAATCTGTTTTCATATTAGAATCGCACCTGTTAAGCAAATTTGGGTTGTTGATATGCCATGTCAAATGCATGAAAATAGTCAATGGCCATGATAAAGAAAACTGAAGCCTGATGATAGTAGATAATAAAACTTCAAGATCACAAAACAAATTACAAGTGGTGCGACAAACAGCTTATTTTCATATGGACAAGAAATATCTGTGTGCACAATCTCAAAAATCTAACAATAATGAAAAATGTCACTACAACAAAGAACACAACAGAGGTGCATCCTAAGGCTCATACAAGTTGGTTCCCTTCAAAGTTCAAATTAAATTCTGAGGTAATGTGTTAGCCTCTGAACAGTACTTTGAGGTAAATGTTCGTTTACCTCAATATCATTCTTTAAGCCAAGCCGGGGGGTATGCAAATTTGAGGCAACCGGTTTAGCCCCAAATACTTTTGAGTCAAACCAATACCTTTTGCCTTCATTCATGTTAGTATAATTTTTATGTTCCATCTAATATAAAAGGTCTCCACCCATAAGACCCATACTCACTCTGAGGCGGAGTGGTAGGGTTGCCTCCAAAAATATTTTTAAAAAAAATCAGTGAAGGACCACTCTCCTCTTCCCAACACGTATACATGCACGTATTCAAGCATCTGCTATGGTGGCTCTAGGAGTTAGGTTGTTTGCGAAAGGGCTTAGGTGCCACATTTAGATCAGATTATGCCAGTTTATACTCCTAAATATGTATGATCTTCTAGTGCTCACTGCTCATGACATGTTAATAGCATAACATAAATCTTGTGCATAAGGATGACAGCATGATCACCTTAAGCACATCCTCATGTAGGTCTTTTGATTATCATCGAAAAAAATCCATGATATGACATGATATGATATTTATAACTAACTTGTGGAAGTTTGCAGATTGAACTGATCCACTTAATGTTATTGACATGGCTAAAATATTTAAAAGAAATCCTAAACAAACATAAACTGAATGTAGAAATTTTTGTATCAGGTTACCTGCAGAATGTTGTAGTCACGCTCATTAGGGGGCTGTCGAGCTACCTGAAGAAGAGCAGCCATATGTTTTGCATTGAGCTGTTTCTGGTGACATTGTCCCTCAGCAATTTTACAGACCTAGAATACAGAAGGTGATAAGAAGCAGTTTTTATAAGACGATAGTGTGTGTCCATTCTTAATATTGTTGGATATTGTAGAATAAATGTTCGCTCAGGATACTAACCTCCAATGGCAGAAATATTGTCTCCCCAAAATGAGCCACTTTCAAGCAAGGCAAAGATGGGTACTGAATACTAAAGTTAACTGGAAAACTGTTGCAGGAAAAACCAAAATAGCATTAACCTATTATCATCATAGATGGCCTATTTAGAGCAGAACTATAGACACAAGAGAATATTTTTATGTGTGAAAGCAAGTGCATACAGTAAATACCTTGCTGCTTGATGGACAAGGTCTTGTACATGATATGTGTTGAACAAAATGCCATTAATCTGAACCTTCAGACCTTCTAGAGCCTCCTTAATCTAACAAAGAGGGGAAAAAAAGTGAATCTTGTAATGGAGTGAACACAGGAATTTAAATCAAGTACTAAGTAACAGAATAGCAATGATCAGTTTGTGATTAAATAGGATGACAAAACGACCTGACCTTCAAGAACTCAGTGCTACATAATGGTCTGTCTAATAAGATGTCCTCGTTAAGAAGCTGTGCAACATAGTCAACCACAGGTACAGGCTTGATGAACACTGATGATGACACGTCTGCAATAGAGTACTAAACTTCCTCAAGACATGGAAAAAGACCAGAGGCAAGTTCAAGACGTACTTATCCCACTATATGATGTATATAGGAATACAGTGAACATGCATTCTTGGCCCTTAGCATGCATAAAATGCTAGTGAGCTTATTAAAGTAGAAATAAAATATTATTCCCAAAAAAAAGTAGAAATAAATTAGGAAACCTTAAGATTTCTGCAATGTATCATACTTCATATTGCAGCTTCAAGCATTTACGGAAATGGTACAAACATGTAACCATATTTTATACTGAACGGTAATTATTGAGGACATGTGTTCCTAATACACAACATATGAAACGGTTTCAATATGAACAATCTTACGGTTTTCTTCATTACCACTTGTACCTTATTACTTATAAGAAGTTCAACTCAATCAAAGCAAGATCAATTTCAGAAGGGGCGACATAGAAATTCTCATTCTCAGGTCTGAAATACAAAACCACGATGAATAGTTGGGATCTGACCGATATTCAGTTGAAGTCCCATCTGAGTAGCTTGTATTCTTTGGTGAAAACCACGCCAGCTTTCCAAGACCTTACACAATTGTCGGCATTCTCCTAAGTTAGGTGAGTAAAATGAACCAGCAAATTGGGTATACCTGAATATGCAAAATTATTGAATGGGAATAATAATAATACAGAAAGACGGAAAACGGAACACAGTGAGAACGAAAGCTAACCTTGCAGTGGGTAATTCCTTTAGAACAACGTCAAGTGCTCGCAGGGCCGCTCGACTTTCTCGGTTTGGCTTCCCACCACGGAACTTGCGTAAAGTCCATAAGGAAATTTTTGCAGCAAATTTTAAAGTGACCACAAAATCTCTCACTCTCAAGTGCCTTGACTCTTCAGGACTGTCTTCAATACTATCCAGCAGAACAAGAAATCTATGTGAATCAAATGGCAATGGACCAGATGTGTATAGCCTCTTCCTTCCATCATAGGCAGGAAGACGGCCACCCAAACCAGAATCTTTCTGCTGTTTTACCAACTCTCTAATAACAGCACGATTGATTCCAACCTCAGGAGTGACACATACCTGATAAAAATAACATCAGATACGAATACTAATGGCGCAAATAAATTTCATGTTATAGACAAGTTATGTGAATCAGAAACTTACATCATATTCATAGATAGTCTGATCATCCAAAGACTCCAGATGAACACTGAAACAATTTGTCCTCACAATGCAACTTTCGCCAATCATACCTTCTGAAGAGAGATTTGGACGTTTTGCTAATCTATAAGTTGATAGAATGGCTTGTCTTTCAGCTTTATTATGTTTCAAGGAGTGGTGACGATCGTAGAGCCAGGTCATTCTCTGACTCTCCATGACTAATGTTCCAAGGCAAGGTACAAACTTTAGCACTGTAAGCGGTAAGAATAGCAATGATCAGAGACTGAAGCATCAAGACACATCGACAGTTGAAAACTAGAGTGGCATCATCAATTTTCACGAACAGCACAGCATTGCAGTGACCTCCACACTTGTATTCACAACAGCACAGGGAAAAGCAAAAGGTACGATACGCCGTTGTTTTCAGGTAAATGAATGAAGGAAGATAAAAGGGATTGCCCGACCAGACCAATATATGCACTCGAACATTGGGGGAAAAATTCTATCTAAAGAGAGGCAAACACGAAATCGATCCCCCCAGAGCTAAGATGAAGGAAGAAAAACAGTAAAGGCAAATTGTTATTAGTATTAAGGTTAGGGCAAATTTACAGAACAGAGGCTAGGGTTTAACGCAAATTCGAGTAGAAGTGCGTGGGTAGAGAGAGAGATCGGAAAGAGCGTGTATAACGGATGGGTGCTCACCAGGATGGATGCGGCGGAAGCAGCAGGACGAACGACGGCGCCCCTGCTCGCTCGCGAGATGGATAGGAATCGGCGGCGGCGGGCGAACACACGAGCAGTCGGAGTCGACGCACAGCGGACGGGGAAATATTCGAGCAACGATGATTTCGTAATCTAATCGGTACGCACTGGTATATTTATTTAAGCACCCCAGTAAGTCACATGAAACCATACTTCCTCCCACCCAGAATATAATCACTTTTAAACTTGTATACTGTTACTCCCTCCGTCCCATAACATAAGAGATTTCTGTAGATATGACACATCCTAATACAATGAATCTGAACAGACCGTCTGTCCACCAAAAATCGCTTATATTATGAGATAGAGAAAATATTAAAAAATAGGTATAATTAAATAAAGAGAGCTGTGATTAGATAAGAAGTGGAGATATGTGGAAAAACTGAATAGTGAAGAGTTGTGATTAGCTGAGAAGATAATGTCTGTTATAAATTATCAAACATTTGAACATCTGCATGAAGTATTAAATATAGGCTAAAAAATAACTAATTGCACATATTGCGACTAATTTATGAGACGAATCTTATAAGCCTAATTGCTCCATAATTTAATAATGTGGTGCTACAGTAAACATTTGCTAATAAAGGATTAAATTCATGACACCCCTTAATGTCATTCTGTAGAAATGGGGGGATGAGATTTCTCAAAGGAAAATATAACATGAGACCCCACGTTTATTTTTCTCTGTAAGGCCATCCCCAACCCTCCATATCATCTATTGTCCATAGCATTTAATACATTGCCACGTAAACAAAACTATGATGTGGCAAGAGAGTTAATGATGAGAGATGTAAAAAAATGAAGAAACCATTTCTCATGCAAGAAATGGATAGGTGGATGAAAAGAGAGAGAATAGAGATGATTGGATGAGAATTTAATTTGAAGACACCATCCATTGGATAGATAGTTTCTATACATAGTATCTATATTACATGACAAGTATGGAAACTACTGTATAGTTTCTGGCTTGGGGATGGTCTAATTGGGTAGTAGAGAGCAAGTCCATAGGTTTTTTCTCAAATATATTCTTTTTTTTCCAAAGGAGCTAATAGGGAAGCATTTCTAAAGATTAGAATCATTTAGATTTTACTTGAAAATAGTTCAGTCCAAAGAAGCCCTAAAATAGAGAAGAGGGCCGGTATGATTTGTATAACATGAGCCCAAATGAAAATGATTGTAAGCATATAAGATAAGATTATTGTTATCTAGGATTCCTTCATTCCAATTTCGAAACACTCACTCGTCTATATTTCCTGTATTATTTATCAATTCTTTATTTTATACGTGTAATTTTATGTTTCTTCGTATGTTTCTCTTCTCATATTTTGGGCCCCTTTGAATCGCAGGGTTAAAAAAACAGAGGAATAGGAAAAATACAAGATTCTGATAGGAATTGAAGTGTAAAACAGATGATTGCAAAACACAGGAAAAACACAGGAATGGTCGTTTGATGGGAACGCATGAAAAACACAGGAATCGAATGAGAGATAGACTCAAAGGAAATTTTCCAAGAGGTTGGAGTTCTTGTTATATTTCCTCCAAAATCCACATGCAATGTGCCATTCCATAGGAATTTCATGGGATTTGGAAAGCTTCAGAGCCCTTTGATTTATAGGATAAGTGTAGGAAATTTGAAGGATTTCAATCATATGGAAAAAAAAATCCTATGAAAGCCTTTGAAACAAAGGATTGAATCCTATACTATCCTTTAAAATTCCTATAGAATGGCTAATCCTATAGAGATTTTGGAGGAAAGTTAGCAAGAGGTCCAACCTCTTGGAAAAATTCCTTTAAGTCTATCTCTCTCATTCGATTCCTGTGTTTTTCCTGTGGTCCAATCAAACGGTCATTTCTATGTTTTAACTGTGTTTTCCAATCCTCTGTTTTACACATATATTCCTGTCAGAATCCTACGTTTTTCCTATTCCTCCGTTTTTCCATTCCTGCGATTTAAAGGGACCCTCAATCCTTTGAATCAAATGGCCAAATAGAAATTTTTTCTATATGATTTGAATACTATATAAATCCTTTGATTTAAAGTCACTTTGTTTTTCTTCTGATCAAACAGGGTCTGATGGAACTACTGATGGAACATCCCTGGATCCCTGACCATACTACTCCCGTCCGTGAATCTCTCCTCCTCTTTTTATTGCAGGGATCCATGAACTTCAACCCCTGCAGTTAATGCAAAAGCTTTGCAGCTTTCTCTCGGTCATTGTGGGAGTAGAAATGGATGGTACTGCTGAGTCAAAAGTTAGAAATGCTTATACTAGTCCCATTCTCCGAAATATAAACGACTAGTCTGTTCATAAATTAAATATAAGTTTTCTATAGTACCAATTTTCCAATCCAACTCCTACATCTGCCCCGTTTTATAGCTACTTTTACCCATTGTTAGTATTAAAGGTAAGGTAAAAAAATATTTGCTACTGTATTGTATAAGTAGTAGTTAAGATGATCAGTAAGTAGGTGAAGAAATAAAATGAGATATTTGTTATGACAGGTATGTAGAGAAGTGTATATATTTAAGACAACATTTGAAATGCTACAAGTTGATATACTAGGTTGTACCTGTATTATTTCATGTATTTGTTGCTTCATTTTAATTATGGTCAAGAAAACTAATGAGCTGTCAAATCTCAAATGTATAAAGGTAGTCTCACCGTAACCTTAACCTCTTAACTTAATCTCTGCTAAAACTTCACTGGATATTTTGCCTTGAGAAGTGTTCTTCATTTTGTGGAACCTCGAGGAATGCCCATCCAACTATAGAAAACTACTGTATGATTTGTTGTGAATAAATAGCTATTCGAGGGTACAACTGAATTATTTAAATATTATAAAGTTTGAAATAAATTTAACAAAGTTTCCTAATAAATTTATTTTTATATAGAGAGAGTAATGTTTTTTTATGAAAATAACACTGTTTATGGGGCTTAGAAAACATGCGCATTCATCCACGGATCTACTCCCTCCATCCTAAAAAACGAATCTAAAACTATATGTGATATATTTTAGGACTACGAATCTCCAAATTCGTAAAATGTGTTGGGTTGGTTTTTTATAGGACTAAACACCCTAAATCCGAGCCGCGCATGGCATGGCACATTGGCATGCACGCGCCCTTCCGCGCTGCACCGCACCGATCAAACTTTTCACACGATCGAACTCTCCACACGACGCGACTGCGCTAGCTAGGAAAAAGCTGCAACTCTGCCATCCCAACTGCCCCCGGGAAGAGGGGTGAGAGACCAATAGATCAAAGGATGATGCATGTTTTAATTGACTACTATTTGCCTCGACTACCATTCTGAGGGGGAGTACGCGGAAAGAACTTGTTGTTTCCTGCTCAATTAATTAAAACAAGACACGATATTGAACTCTATATATTAATATTAACTTGAAAAATAAAAGAAACTAAAGCAGATAGTGACTAGGAAAATTGTCCACAAAAAGTAAACAATGAAAGATAGTGACTACTCCCTCCGTTTCACAATGTAAGTCATTCTAGCATTTTCTACATTCATATTAATGTTAATATTGATGTTAATGAATCTATGACATATATATCTATCTGGATTCATTAACATCAATATGAATATGGAAAATGCTAGAATGACTTATATTGTGAAACAGAGGAAGTAGGAAAATTGTCCACAAGAAGTAAATAGTGAAATACTCCTACGAAGTAATACAGTGAAAAAAAAACAGTTCATTACTTGCAAGGATGCTTGTAGAGGAGACGTCAAACAAATGGCGTAGAAAAATGTATATATGTTCATAAACCCTTTTTTTTACAGTGATTTTTTTTCCAATCTCCACCTCCTTTTAATTTTCTGAAGTCTTTTCTTTTAATTAAGCAGGAAAGTAGCTTTTCCTTCAATGTATCTTCTCTTGTTTAGTGTTAGTGGAGGTGGGTCCCATGGGCAATGGAAACATCATTGATCCATTAATGGATGGTTCAGATTGAAGGTAAGGCAAATTTTGCCGTTGGGACTTGGGAGCAAAGGCATAGGATGCGGATCCTCATCGCCGGTGTGGATGTGTGTAGGTGTGGGCGTGTGGCTCAGGTTACTATTTTGTCTATGGCCCTGTTTATTCTAACTTTTTTTTTCTTCGAACTTTAAATTTTTCCATCACATCGAATTTTTCTATACATATAAATTTTTTCTATTACATCGTTTCAATTTTTTCAAACTTTCAATTTTAGCGTGTAACTAAACACAGGCTATGAATCTAAGCTTCGTTTGAAATAACTTGCATGCAGACGCAATGTACCGTGTGTACACCAACGAATTACCAGTTTTTTATAGGACAAATGCATGAATTTTTTTTATGTTTAATAAAGAAATGGTATCAGTGCTAATCAAGGTTTTAAAACACAAGTACTGTACCTGGTAAGACCGGTTTTAACTGGACACATGTTTGGACTTGAAATTTTCAGTTCAAAAAATGTTACTCGTGGAGCTTTTTTTTTTTTCAATTTTCTCCAAAACTTGGTAAGACTAAATGGAATTGTTTAGAGATCAAACATATGTGAGGGTGCGTTCTAAAGAGCTTATCCGGTTAACTACTCTCTCATTTCTGAACTGCTAAACAATATTTTTTTCATATATTTTCTAATAGAAGTTTATTTATAAAATCAAACAAATTCATTTTTTTAATTTATAATATTTCATACTCAATTTACCATGAGCGAAACATATGTTGTATTTTCCGCGCCACTAAATCTACACATTCGAATCCAACCTTATTGTTGAGCAAATTCCTTATGTACTTGCATTTTTGTTTATTTTTTTTATCAAAACACAGTGAGGGAGGCCTCCATGGTATATATTAATAAGAAAAAGGGTATATACAAGGACGGCCTAAGCCAAAAGAGAAAAAAAGAAAAAAGTGGCACAGAAATATATATTAATAAGAAAAAAAGAATTTTCATTTATTTCTTTCTATGCCTTAATTTTTTTTTGCTTTATTCTCTACATGCCATCGAGTTTTCATTTTGATTTTTTTCTATACTCATTCTGTTAATTGACCACAAGTCGATTGTTAGATTTTTTTTAAAAAAGTGACTATATCCCTCAACGTGAAAAAATGATTTATGTGAGGAAAAAACAAAGGGGGGCATAATTATTTGACCATAAATTTAAAATTTGAAAATTTTAAGTATATTTTAAACCAAACTGGACAAAATCCGTACAACATCTTCACCATCATTTTTAAAACTATTAAAAAAACAACATGACAAAATGGATACAATTTCAAAATCGAGTCCTTGTGACTGCGAGGGGAGCAGAGTGGCAACGGGGGCCAAGCGCGGTATGCTGGTCTGTACTTGGGTTTCCCACTTTCCCTTGTTAGCAAAAAAACAAGCAAGAAAAAGGCTGTTCGCTTCATCCGCGCCATGTGTCTCGTTACCAAGAAGAAGAGAGAGAGAGAGAAGTCTCCTGCAAGCCTTGGGGTGGTGGAGGGTGGTGTGGTCGGTGTTTGGGGTTTTGGGTTCTCTCCTCCTCCTCCTCTTCCTCCTCCTCTCTCGGCCTCTCCCCATCCCAGATTTGCAAACCAGTTGGAGTAGTCGTCGTCTACCTAGGGTGGCAGGACAGGAGGAGCAAGAAAATGATAGGGATGGGGGAGGGAGTAGCGATGGAAGCTAAGAATCAAGGCAAGGAGGAGGAGGAGAAGCAATATCGAAAGGAAAGGGTGTGCGGCCCCGATCGATCCTCCTTCCCACCCCCACCTAGCTCTCGCGCGTCGTCGTCTCCTCGACCGCCGGCGCCCGTCGCGCGCGTTCGATGATCGATCCTGAGCCGTTGCGGTTGCGGTTGCGGTTGCGCGTGCGTGCGTGCGTACTGCGTGTTGGTCTCGCCTCGCCGGCCGGCACGTGCGTCGCCCGGCGAGGAGGCTCCATCTTTCGTCGCCGTGGAGACCACGCCGCGGCGGCGCGCGCGTACGTCTCTTTCTCCACGTTTCTTTCTGTGTAGTCTTGTACTAACCAAGAAATGATGCATCCAGGACGTACTATGGACACGAATCGAGCTCCGGGACCGGGAGGAGGAGAAAAATACCGGCCGCCAGGAGCACGCGCCGCTCAATCTCACAGCTCGGGAGGAGGAGAAGAGAAATACCGGCCGCCAGGAGCGCGCGCCGCCCAAGGGCACATCTTCTCGGGAGGAGGAAGAGGTGAACGCCGGCCGCCAGGAGCACTCGGCGGCGACTGGCACTCATCGGGAGGAGGAGGAGGCAAATACCGGCCGCCAGGAGCACGCGGCGGCGGCGACTACGGGCACCAACCACAACCAGAACCAGGATTGCATCCACCGGAAAGAGGGGGGAGCACCTACTTCCGAAGGCCAGGAGTATCAGGAGGAGGAGATTGGAGAAGCAAACCGGAAGGACAGACAACAACAAGGACATGGTACAGCCTCTTCCATCTTTGAGTGCAATCTTGCTCTTGAATCTTGAAGCATGCACGTACTCACTCGTCCGGGACGTCAAGGATGCAGCTTTGTTTCTTCGTCTTAACGTTGGCCACCTCTTTGTTTGTATATGCAGGGATGGGTTCTCGCGGCGACGGGACGAGGAAATGGATTGGCGGCACAGTCACAGAGGAGAAGGGATTGCCAATCCTACTGAATCTCCTACCGCCGACATGCCTCCAGGTTCATATGCATTCCTCATACTCTGTCGTGCATCAATGTTCACATGCGGATCCATCGGTCTGACCCGCGCAAACTCTCTCCCATAAAAAACCAACCTAGTAACACATTACTTTTTCCGTCCTTGAAAAACCAACATAATATTGGATGTCCAAATTCATAGTAATACTATAATTTGTCATATCCGACACTAGATTGGTTTTTTATGGAACGAGGGAGTATGCGCCGCAACCGTAAGCCGCTCAGCCCCCGCGCAGCCTAGTGCTTAGCGTTTTAATTTAACTTTTATAGTAAAACGATAAATAAATTATTAATTTGGAATTTTGAAAATGAGTTGAATGTTCTAAGTTGGAGTTGAAAGTTTGAAATTTTGAATTGAAAGGACTTAGTTGCAAAAGTATATTGATGTTATATATATTAGAGAAATGCTACAGAACTGTACACCTGCTTCAAATGCCAAGATTGGATTGTTCTTAATTGTTATGATTGTGTGTGTTAAATGACTGGTGCTGCCTTGAACAACTATAAACAAAAGTTGGCTGTTGTACTCTGTGTGTAATAGTAATTCAATTTTCTTATTGCCATTTGGTTATCAACAACAAATGCACCCTTTTTCTGTTGTTGGTTGGTTAATAATCTAGATCTACATTTTACTTATGCAGTTTCCTATGCAACAAATTAAAATCTGATAATTTTGTCACAATATATGTTGTTGTATAATGCAGTTGATCTTGGCCTACTAGGGGAAACCAAAAAAAATACTGTTCACTGCTGTTATCATTTTTCTTTGGTAGCCAGAACTTTGATGATGTTGTTAGGCTGCGTTCGTTTGTATTAGATAGGGTGAGAAAGCACCTCGTTTTCCGTGCGCACGCTTCCCAAACTACTAAACGGTGCGTTTTTTACAAAAATTTTCTATAGGAAAGTTGCTTTAAAAAATCATATTGATCCATTTTTGAAATTTAAAATAGTTAATACTTAATTAATCATGCGCTAATGGCTCACCTCGTTTTGCGTATCTCCCCAATCTCCTACTCCTCAAACACATTAGTTGTCTAGAAGTGAGATGGGATGACCGCCATTAGCCTGATAACAGTTTGCTCATCTAGCTTATTTTCTTTTTTTTTCCTGTGTTGTTGCCAGTGGCAGAGCATAATGGAGGTCAAACTGCGCAGTGGCCCCTCCAGTGTTTTCAAGTTGATGTAGATAGTAATATGTGCAACACTGCAACATCCTAGATTTGATAGGTAGGTTAGCTGGCGGATGTCTCATCCCTGAGAATTAGGGGTTTGATTCTACTTATTCTTTTTTTTTCCTTTTAGGACGTACATAGATTATTTATTTTATTTTCACGCTACTAATATTTTCTTGTCGACATTATACTATATTTTACACTTTTTACTAAAACGTTTACATTTTTAAATACCTGTCCTATAGTAAGAGAAACTTTGTTTTAACTTTTGATATTTTGAACACTCTTTACATGCTTATATAATGTTTCCCCTCTTAAGTTTATGTCAAGCTCCACCACGGTTGTTGCTATTGATGTTGTTTGTCGGAGAAGTGGGAACAAGGGTTTTCACTTTATCATATGCTTGGGTCACTATGAGCCCCACTTTGTCTCAAGGGGAAGATGGCGCACGGCATCAACCTTTGCCCCAAGCTCACGAAGATGACCTGAGGAAGACAACAGCCCGTGGACAAGTCCTTCAGACCCCGGGGCTGAAACGTCTAACCTGGGTGGATTAGGGCCCCGAGCCCCCGAGGATAGCAGCAGGACTCGAGGTCTCCCCGAAGGAATCTGGCCCATTAAGAGGATTTGACTAGGTCTTGTGCGTTATTTTATCCTATCATTTTGCATTAATTACGGGGTGATACAAATCTTGTGAGCTTATCATAGGCGACATAGGAGATGTGGTTGTGCATGCTGCCTCTCACGCGCCCACGTCACCTTGGAGAAAAAGGTTTGCGATGTGCCACGCCCTCAACTATCACCCCAAGCCCTCCCTGTCAGCTTCGGTGGTTGATAGGTGGGCCTAGGGACAAATAAGATGAAGACTTTGCGGCCTTGCTCCAGATGTTAGCTAGTAGGTGAGCCCATTCCATCCGACCGGCCTACTTGGAGGGACAGCGACAAGACCAAGCAAACCAACCCTTGTGTATTGGGTCCCTCTTTCATATGCATGCATGGGCATTGTGGATAGGCCTGCTAATAGGTTGGGTGGGAATTGGTATAATGGATTGGTTTTCATTTTGGGTAGAAATGGTCTAACGAAGCTGTTGGGTTGGGGCAGTTTGGACTTTGCTGAAAGTGGATTGGATCGATCTGGTTTTCGGTCATATACCTTTGGGTCCAAAATGGGTTCAACCCATGGATTTTCATTGAATCGTCCCCAAATCCTCTATGCTAGCTTGATGGACACACTCATCTTCCTCGTGAGCACAAGGATGCCCAAGGCATGCCCGTCGGCATGCGTCGTCGTCGATTCGGGCTTGGACGCCATGCGCGTTAACTTCAAGCACCTTTCAACCATGAGGTAGTTCGAGGACCTCGCGGCGAAAATCTTAGGGAGAAAGGAGATGGTGCGTTCGTAGGAGATCTTCGTTGGCGACAAGTACAAGCAGCAATAGTCCGCCGCCACACTCGCTTTCCTCATGGATGCAACTAGGTCGACTATGACGAACATCCGAGAAAGGAGAGCATCGACTATGACGACATCCGAGAAGTAGCCTCGAGCGGCCAGAAATCATCTATTTGCTGGGAATCAGGCGCCGGCAAGGACAACTCCTCGAAGATCTACCACTTGGTGCGTCATCCACAAGACGACCAATCACTCTTTTACGGACTGCAAGGTGGTGCAACACGTGAGAGCTGAACTCGAAGCCTGCAAGGAACGGGGTATTCAGCGTGCTTCACCAACCAAGACCACCTGGTGTCTGATCCATAAGTCAAGACTCAAGAGGACATGAGCTCTTAGGCTGCAAAGTCTTCCTTGACGCCACCAAACCTCCACGCCCTCAGATCCAAGAACGACGAGTTCAAACTCGAAGCGTTGCATAGGAACAGAGCCCAGGGAGCTCCTGACCGTTTCGGGATTCATTGGTATGGACCCCCACGAGGCCTCGGTTTTACATAGCTTGGAGGATCTAGAGTCCTCGGCACCTAATACTCTACGAAAGGTGAACGTAATCGAGGGAGTAGTCCGAGTAATCAAAATCCAACTGCTCGGGCGACCACAGATCCCATCTGTACTCCCGCCAAGCATTTGAACACAATCAACTCAATATTAAGATAGAGCCCTTTTGATCCGGTCATGTTCCCTGATGGCGGGTCGAACGACTACGATCCACAATGGTGAATCTCAATAGTGCTTTTGCGGCGGCGACTGGACCTCCGGCTCAAGATCCTCCTCAACTCCCAGCTCGAGGAGAAGAGGTGCACGTCGACGGCAGTGTCGAAGAAGACCCCAACGAACATTCGAGCTGAGATCCTGGTCGTAACCTCCCAATACCTCACCTCGAGGACCTCGTCAGGGGACCCCACCCCTCAAGATAATCGCGATTTACGTGACCACTTGAACGGGCGCCGACGGGAACGACGAGAACAAGACAACGCTCACCGACATCAGCGCCGTTCACCTCGACGCAATAATGACGACAACCGAGCGTTCACTCCAACATTGCGAGAAATACGGTGGATCGAAAAATTCTAACCAGGAGCGATGGAAGCACCGTCCCTGAGGAATTCCTCCATGTTTATTCCACGGTTCTTTACGCTGCTGGAGCAGATGACAATGCGCTCGCAAACTACTTGTCGTCTGTGTTGAAAGGATCTGCTCGATCATGGCTAGTTCATCTCCTACCCTGCTCGATCTCAGTTCGTCGCCAACTTTCAGGGTACATACAAGTGCCACGCGATCGAGGAAGACCTTCACAATTTAACTCAACCCAGGTGAATGTTTGAGGGACTATATTCGGCGGTTCAATGAATATAGAAATCTGTCTCAAAGGAATCTGCCCCATTAAGGGGATTTGACTAGGTCATGCGCATTACTTTACCCCACCATTTCACATTAATTGCGGGGTGATATGAATATTGATAGCAGACCACATACAATGTGAGAAACGTGGCCATGCATGCTACCTCTCACACGCCCACGTCTTCCTGGAGAAAAAGGTGTGCGACGTGGCACGCCCTCAACTATCACCCCACTACCCCCTCCCCCTTTGTTAGCTTTGGTGGCTAATAGGTAGGCTGATGGACAACTAAGATGAAGACTTTTGCAGCCCTGCTCCACATGTCAGCCGTTTGGTAAGCCCGTCCCATCTGACCAGCCTACTTGGAGGGACAGTGACAAGACTAAGCATAACAACCCCTATGTACTGGGTCCCACTTCCGCATGCATGCATGGGGAGGATCCATGTCTCTGAGAAAAAAAAAAGTTCGACTCCCTGGAGTAGACTAAGTTCATACACTCCCACTTAGCACATTCCCCCTACACCTGTTGTAAATCTTGTTCATCATCACATAGAGTAAGAACATAAGAGTAGGGTATTACGCTTCTCAGCCCGAACCTATATAAACCACCTGTCCCACCTTCTTTCTCTTGCATCCTGGCCACAAGCTTAGAACCTGCACCTTGGCCGAACTCTGAAGGGAAGGTATCTTGCATTCCCACTAGAGGAGCTCCGTGCTCCGACACGTTGTCTAGAAGAGGGATGAGATAGCGCCATTAGCCTGATAACAGTTTGCTCATTGAGCTTTTTTCATTTTTTCCCCTGTGTTGTTGCTATTTGTAAAGAGATCTTTTACAGTGTTTGCGAGGTACTTGGAGGTGGAACAACGTGAACCATTGATAAGAGAGGGGCAAGGTACGGAACAAAAATATTGTAACATGATGGCAGTGGAGTAATTAACTTGTAAAACATGGGCATTATACGTTAATTGAATACTAACATCCATCTGTCAGTATTCAGATCGGTAAGTCAGTATCCAGATCGGTAAGCCATCAGAGAAAAGAGTAAATCACGGATATCAATCCGATTGATCCGTAACAGATCGCATCTCCATTCTTCTTTCCCTTGGGTTCGTTCTTGTTCTAGGGTTTGGATGTTTCACTGGAAGGAGACAGGTTCGCCAAAAGGAGACAGAGAGAAAAGTTTTGGCATGGTTGAGGGTTGAAGAGGAGACTAGATCGCCTGGTCAACGTCAACCTAACGCATCGGTAAATTATCCTATGCTTATTTACAGAGTTGATTAATTATTTATGTATAGTTCATAAGTTCCTTATATAAGGGATTTAGAATTTTTGTCAATTTGTGGTATATTAAACGAGATCTTCTCCAATGGTGTTCTTCTAGTGTTTTAACGGGTGTACCCACGAGGAGACACGGTTGAGGAAGAAGCTCTGGTATGGTTGAGCGTTTGAACAGGAGGCAAGATCTAATTGACATGTACAGGTGTGTGTATAAGTAAGATATCCTATGCTTATTTACGTAGTTGATTAGTTATTTATGTAGCTCACAAATTTCTTCGTACAAGGGATCAAAAAGAGATATCCTAATATGTTCTTCATATTAGGGTTTGAATAGGTGAACTTGCTTGGTGACATAATTGAGGGAGAAGCATTGGCACTGTCTTGTGTTTGAATATGAGACATAATCTGATTGACACGTACGTAACAAGTGCATAGGTAAGATCTCCTATGCTTATTTACGCAATTGTTATAGTTTTTACCGAGTTCATGGATCCCTAAGTTTACTTGGGTAGGGCCTGAATTGACACATATTGAATTTTCTTATTTACATAGTTTAGTTCTTGTTAATGCAGTGCACTATTCTTTCGTATGTACCGCATGCAAATTAGTTGTACACTAAATTAGCTTTTGTAGATTTGTTTATACAAAGCAATTTGCTATGTACAATTTGAGTTAAAATTATAAATTAACTCAAGATGGTAAAGGGTGTTCTAAAAATTAAATGTTGTTTCTTGTAGGTTTTAAGCTCTGATGGAGGATACAGGGATATCGGTTGAGGAATTGTTGGAGTACCAACAAATTGTCAGCAAGACATTCAATAGTGAGGATGAAGGAATTCACTTCTACAACAAGTACGCTTGGGATAAAGGCTTTAGCATAAGAAAATCATATGCTGAAAGAAGAAATGCCGCAAAAGAGGTCAAACGGAAAAGAACCTATGACCTTTTGTTGTAAAAAGGCTGTTGTTGATGAAGTTTGTCTGACATATTTATCTAGCGGGTATGATATTGGTGTTTGTGAGCATGCTCACCATGAGTCAGACTACTTGTGTTGATATGTTGTTGGTTAACTTGACATAGCATGTTCAATTGGAGGCAAGTATCATAAATTGATGAAATGTATAATTTAAATTGATGCTAACCTTGGGTGATATTTTAACTGGTCATGTTTCTGAAACACAATATAAATATCTTGCTAGAAACAAACTATAATTTTTAACAGAATTAAGGTATGAGTTGTCATGTGTTCGTTGGAACAAAATGTAAATGTAGAAAAAATTCACATAATTAGGCTACAAACGTATTATAACAATACAATGTAAATCTAGAGAAATCTACGCAAAAGAGAACATCAAAGAACACTACGGTGACTTAACTCGAATACAACGTAAATCTTCAAGAAACCACGTAAAAGATACGCTGATACCGTGTAGAGCGTACCTATGCGGTACCTATTATAATTTGGAGGACAATTCTACCCTTTTCACTCTACTAGCAAAATTATATTTTTACCATTAGTACCTAAATACCTATATTAATACTTAAATACCTTTAACATGGTACCTGTGATTGAGGAGCGTTGGATCTTTACCCTTTTTGAAATGCAAACACCGTAAAAGTTCTCATTTGTAAAAACTTATAGTTTTTGTTAATAGAAACAGGGGGAGGTCATCCCTCTTTTCTCTTAAGAAAATGTTGATCAGGGTAGAGGTAGGGTAGAAGGACCAGATGCCCTACATGTTCTCTAAGTATCTCTTGTAATTTTCCAATGAGTAACGCTAATAAATCTTGCTTCGTGACACTTGTCTGTGAACTATTTTATGATTTTATTAGACAAGTTAACCCATATATCTAAAACATTGGGTTTGCCCTGCAGTTGATCCAGAGAAGCCATGGCATGTCCAAATGCTGGAGAAGGAATTCATTGAGTGGAACGTGCCACAACACTTACGTTCCACCAATGATCTTGTCGTTGGAGGAGTTCTAATAGCATACACAATAGATAAAGAAGATGACAAATCTGAAGAGGGTGGATCTGCAAACCTCATTAATGGCAAGATGTCCTTCCTGGTAGAAGATAAACCACATGACATTCTTTGCTCTTTTCTGCTCGTAGACAGTCTGGCTACTGCAGAAAGTTATCAAAGTTGCTCACTAAAAGTTAACCACAAAAGAGTTGCCAAAGCATATTTCATAGGCTATAACAGAAGCTTATGCAAGTATTTTGTCTGTTATGAGCGGCTGAACCGCTTCTCCTTTAAAGAGGATAGAATAGATCACCAACAATCTAGCAGTGAAAAAAAACAACAGCCAAAACAACGCTGGAGGAAAAATATCAGGTAATGTCTTACCCATAGATTACATATGATAGATCTAGCTCAGGTAAAAAAATTTAACATACAATCTATTTTGTAGTGAAATATTTGAAGCCTTGGAAGCACTTCATGTGGCGGGATATGGAAATAACTATATGAATTCAACCATCACTTTTGCTTATGGTCAGGGTAATGATCAGGACAAGCTACTGAAGATAGTCGGTGGATGTCCCTTGCCATGTGATGATACTAGAACCAAAAAGTCTCAGCGAGTGAAATTTTGCACATTCCTTCGAAAAATCGGGGCAGAAAATACACTTGGCTATCAAGCATTTAAGGTGACCGTACAATACGGGTTAGTAACTAATTACTCCAAATTTCATTTTTGTTAAAAAAAATTAATGCAAGGGCTAAAGAAACCACTTATATACATTCCTAACAAGTTTAACAATTAAAATTATTAGCTCTAATCACTACTCAGGATAAAAGAGTAGAAGGTGTATGCACTAGAGTATTTATTATCATATATTACAAAATCAAAGACCTTTTTTTATAGGAGTATGGCTGTGTTTAGTTCCTCCTCCAAATTTTTTTTGACGTATACAGGCGTACATTTGAAGTATTAAACGTAGACTAATAACAAAATAAATTACAGATTCGACCTATAAACCGCGAGATGAATTTATTAAGCCTAATTAATTCTTTTTAGCAAATGTTTACTGCAGCACCACATTGTCAAATCATGGCGTAATTAGACTAAAAAGATTCGTCTCGCAATTTACATGCAAACTGTGCAATTGGTTTTTCTCTCGTCCATATTTAATGCTCCATGTTTATATCCAAACATTTGATGTGATGGAATTTGTAGAAGTTTGAAGGGAACTAAACACAGCCTATATGTTCTTTTATCGGGCTAGCCACTGACCTGCTACAATAACACGTTTTTACATCTCCTGTTACAAATCATCTAATAGCTCAAAACTAGCTAAGCAGTTCACGTAGCATGCATGCACTTCACTTTAGTAAATCCAACTTGACTACTTTCTCAAGAAAACAACTAAGTTTTTCATATATCTTGCACCTTTTCGATCGTTTCAAAACCATCCATGTCTTCGCTTTGTTGGCAGTGATGACGTCGAGGTAATCATGAAACATCCATATATCTTGGCCTCGGATAAAGAAAGAGTCGCTGCTATTGAGCCCATGAATGAGAGATTGTATGACCTTGCTGAGAGCAAACGTGTCGATCTAAACACTTCTCTCAAGCAAAACTTTCGAGACTGGGTGTGGCAGTCGATGGTAAAGAAAAGCACCAAATTTTCTGTTTTCCTCTGCTCAAACCAGATTAATTGGGACGATTATGATGACAGCCTGGTCAGCTTGGTGAGATTTCTCAGAAATTTTGTTGAGCATCAGCGTGACATCGCCATAGGACGGCATCGCTTTATGTATGCTGGTTCGAGCCAGACTCGAGACAGAGTCACTCGATTGTCTCTCTCACCACTATTTTCTTTCACATCTTCTTCCCTGTTAGAGCAAACAACATGTAAGATGTTTGTTTATCACTGGCCCAACCTGTAAGATGTTTTGTCACTTCATTTATGCTACGAACCTTGTTATTTTCTGTTTTAACTAAAATACATCTTTCCAATCAAAATGCCATGTCATAATTATCATCCTCCAATGACCGTGTACGTGTACGTCCGGTTTGGATATAATCCGGTTATTGGAGGACGATAATAATGGCATTGTCATTTAGAGAATCTTTTAAATAAAAACAAGGGTCATGAATAAAATCGGTTTTTTAAATAAAAAGAAAAAAAAATAAATTAAAAACCAGACTTCATTCATTACCCTTGTTTTTATTTAAAAGATTCTTTCATTTAGTAGTCGCTCACTGTGAGACACCTTTCATCATACTTGTCTGTTTATTCCGCTCAAGACTTTATTCAGTAGAATATACCGTTTTGGAGAAAATTTGCAGAAATATGTGTAGGAATAGAATAATATACTTGGTATTTTGGTAGGTGGCAAAATCCCAAGTTGCATAAACAAGTTAATTGATACTCCATGCATTTTACTCTCTATTTTTTGTACGGGACGAAAAAAACATATGGCAATCATATAGTCTCGTTCAGGAAGCAAACATACAAGCCCAGTTCAACAACTCCTTGAGAGCTTCATGGGATGCTAATATTTCCTCCTAAGCCAAAACGATTTATTAGGAGATAAAATTTTTATGTATTTGTTTGTAACAACTTAAAAGCCAATGTAAAAAGAGATTATGTTAAAAGTATTATAAAATCAACCTTAAAAATCAAGCTTGAAAATTTAAATTTTGGTTTTCAAGAGTCGGTTTCGTACTGGCTTGGCTGGGTCGGGCTCGGGCTGGGCCATGAAAAGCAGACGTCGCCCTCCAACTCCTCCTCATCGTAACCATCCTCAGTAAAAGTAGGGCATCGATCAGCCGCGCCCACCCCAATCTCGCTGCCGCCTCCACCGATCGCCGGCGGCGGCCACCCACACCCACCGTCACCCCCAACCCCAGGCACTCTCGCTCCACCGGTCACCGGGGGCGGAATTTGCTCGTTTGTTTGTCCGATCCGATGGATCTCTTCATGGAGCTGAAGGAGCGCCATGATTACGTCCCTCCAGAAGATTTCATCACCCGAGTGTTGCCGCCCGAGGCTTTCGCCGACAGCCGTGACATCCCGGAGTATGAGGTCGCGTTCATCAGAGTGCCCCTGTACGAGCTCCGTGACCCCGTCGACAAGGGCCTCATGAGGAAGCGCATTGAGGAGCAGCGGCGGCGGGAGGCGGAGAGACGGCGGCAGCTTGAGAAGGATATGCGGCGGTGGGAGGAGGAGGAGGAGGAGGAGGAGGCATGGCCGTGGGAGGACGACGACGACGACTTCCTGAGGATGTCACAACAGCTGTCAGTAATCTGTTCAGAAAGCCGTGGGAAGAGAGGGGATTGGCCTAATATGAAGGCAACAAGAAGAGGGAGAAGAAGAACACATGCATTAACCCCAGACAATGAGGAGGAGGAGGAGAATTTGAGTGAGCTGGAGCTAGCCGTGGAGAACACACGGCGCAGGATACATCACTGCAACTGCAACCACATCCCGCGTCACACCCTCTTCACGAGCCACGCCGATGTGGAGGAGCTCTTCCTCCCTTTCAAGCTGGAAGAGCCTTACCTCTGCTTTGCCTCGCGATGCCAGAAGTCTGCGCCCTCCTACGCTCACTTCTTCCCCGACTTCAACCGTTCACCGGTAATTCAATAACTTCCCTCCCAACAATTTTTACTCTTGCTGCCTGACATTGTGCATAAATATTTGACTAGCATGTTATTGACACTTGCAAGCATTGTTTATATCTCTATTTAAATCTTCTGGCTTGATTTCGTGCTCGCGGCATTGCAACATATCTCAAATAATTAAATCATAGGTTCTGAGTTTAGAAAAGAGAAAATTCCAATATATATTGCTGTATCATCTACAGCTAGTAGTTGCACATACACATATGCAAACAATATAATATGTACTTAGCTAAAATAAAATACAACACTCCCATATATCAAGAACCTAGGACTGGATGAGACATTTCCTAGTAATACGAATCTAGACAGCTTAGGAAATGTTCCATCCAATCCTAGATTCTTATATTTTGGGAAGGAGGGAGTATCATTTACTCCCACTACCTTGTCCAACTAATTAGCATATATATTGCTACATGTCAACAATTAATAGGGGTGAAAATGCTACTGAATTACCCTTTTTATCAGTATACCATTTTCATCTAGAATTTCTGAAAAAAAACATATTGTACTGATAACCCATGAAAATAATTACAAAAAAACATAATTCCGATAGTTCTGTTCTGCTATATTCTGATGTTCCGGTAACACTGACATCGTTTTTGTTTCTGTCTCTACTCTTTTGATTTCGTTTTTGAGGAAAAAAATGTTTTTCCAACTGTTTTCATCCTCTTAACAATAACATGTGTTCCCTACTATTGTAGCGTATAACGTCTGATTGGCTGCGTCCTTCTACGTTTGAAGGGGACCTACAATATATCCTATTCTTTCACAAGCTGATGGATACCGTGGAGTGTGGTAACACAGAAGATACAGTTCTAGCCAAAGCCATCACCATTGCAACACAATCTTATCAGAAGATGCTGTACTTCCAAATTGAAGCTGCTGTGCAAGATTGCTTGGAGCTTCTTAAGGAAATGGAGAGGATGAATGATAGATACGACTTCTATCATTTCATTGCATCTGAGATCCTCTTCAACAACAAGTCATATGAAGATGTGCTCAAGCTTATACGCGATGGGCATGTAGAGTTACACTACACGCTTAAAGAGTTCAGCACTCCCCATGCTGATCACCACATGGATGATTTGGTTTGTGCTATTTTCAAATAGACAATCTAATGCTCTTGTGCCTATAATATTCATATTTGTTTGACATTTGTTTGTAGGTTCATCGCCTTGTGGGCAGGACTCGTGCTTATGTATGTATTATTGTATCTAAATATTTCCTTTTTTTATTTTTTTTCTTAGGAGTATAAAATTTCGTCTCCTTTCATTCATCCAGATGCCCACAGATGCACAACGAGAGTGTGGAATGTTCAAGGACTGGGTGTGTCAGCAGGTTGATAAGGAGGTAACTTCGTTTTATGCCAAATCTATTGTCTATTTTTGTCGCATAATGGTGTCTAATTCTTTTGTTTCTTCTGTCCACAGTATGGATCTCTTGGTTATCTTTACATGCATTTTCTTGATAACAAGATGAGAGCTTGGTTTGCCCCATTTCCTGAAGGTAAAATTCTCAACTAAATTTCATCCACAATGAAAAAGTAAAATCTATTCCCTTTTGAAAGTATACGATATTCCTTTTTGAGGGAATTCTAGGATATTCTGTGCCATTGGATTGGGTGCAATAGTCTCAGCCACCACCTCTTTTTCACTGCATGAAAAGTAAAAAAATTGCACCTACAAAGGTTCTTGCTATGCCATCTTTGTTGATGCTTGTTTTCACAAGCATAAATTTTCCATCTTGTGATTGGATAACAACTGCATGCCACTAGGCTCTTCTTGAGTAATGGCAAATTCTTGTTCTTGAGAAATTGGCTATTATCCAATATATGATTGGAAATAATGATTTATTTTTCTGTTTTCATATATACAAAAGGCAAAAAAATTACATATTGGACTCTTTGCAGACCTCAATTCCAGTTACATTTGGCGTGCTACAGTCACATCTATAAATCGAAAGTAATTGCGCACAATAACTGAGCCAAGGGAAGAGCTTATTATCTAGATATGCAAAAGTAATTGGACAAATGGTGATACGCAGAAGCACCCATAAATTTGTTTCAGGGTGCCACTAATTTGAATGGTTCTAGATTTTTCATTTGCATGGTTGAGCTTCATTGCTGCCTGTCAAAACACAGCTGCAGTTACTTATCTTTCGTGTTTTCCCTTTTTCAGTGCTGAAGGATCTGAAGTACTCTGAAACTCATGAATGGGTTAGTGTTGAAGGCGATTATGCAACAATTGGGATTTCAGATCATGCCCAGGTACATATTTAGATGTTCTATCACTCTGAGCATTTTTTTTTTTATTTTAGGGCCTCAGTGTGTTGAATGATCCATTTGCTTCACTCTATGCATGTACACAGAGCATGCGTTCTATTTCTTAAACGTTATTAGGTCCAACATATGTTACCATATTCAGCGTATAGAATAAGGGCTTGTGGTTCTTAAGTTTATTTTATTTTATTTTATTTTGCTCTCAGGACCATTTGGGTTATGTTGCGTCTGTGGAGCTCCCAGAAGTTGGCCAAAGTGTATCCCAGGGAAATAAATTTGGTGTTGTTGTAAGTGTGAAGGGAACCACCAGGGGTATTAACTCACCAGTATCTGGAGAGGTTGTTGAAGTGAATGATCAACTAAGCGATTTACCTGGATTGGTAAGCTGTAGAAGTTGAGTATGGTAAAAAACGCTTTAATAACCTGCTAACTGTTTTTTTTGTCGTTACCTGCATAGGTAAATGCAAGGCCATACGAGACAGGGTGGATTATCGTGGTCAAGATCAGTGATTCAGGCGAGCTCAATTCGCTCATGAATGACGAGGATTACTCAAAATTTTGCAAGGGAGAAAAAGACAAGTATTGAACAAATTGCAGTGAGTCTTGATCCTTGTCAATGCTTGTGATGTGCCATATCACTTACCAATCTGTTGGTCTGTATCATGTTGGCATTCGCTAACACGTAACGTGATGCTCAAACAGACTCAGGAACATGTTGGAATCCCTTCCCTGTTTATGTTGTTTAGGATGAAACTGTTGTCGCAAGTGAACATGCAAGTATAGCACCCCTAATTAAGCTATAATGATGCCAATTCTGCCAAAACCGGTGTGCATAATCAATCAATGATAGTTACAGTTGCTGTCGAGTTTTTGTCCAGTTTTTTTTTTTAGAGGAAAACTGACTGTTTCCATTAACCCATTGTCCAGTTTTTCAAGAAATAAGCTTGCAGTTCTGACTCCATTTTTGTCCAGTTTTTCAAGAAATAGCTTGCAGTTCTGACTCAGTTATTGGTTATGTTCTGGAGGTGCAAAACAAAGAAAATGTTTGTGTAATTTTGTGCGGCACAGTTTTGTCATAGAACATAGACGACAAAATAGATTAGGGAAAACTTTTGGAATGCATAAACTTGGCAATTCAGAACTTGGTCCTCCGATAAAAAAAAACAAAAAACAAAAATAAGGTACTTCTGTTTTATATTTAAGTCGTTTTGATTTTTTCTAAACTTATTCACCTTTGACTAAGTTTATAGTTTATAGAAAAATATGGCAATATTTTCAACCTAAAACAAAGAAATTATCAAAATATATTCAATGTTCAATGTTAGGTTTAATAAAATTAATTTGGTATTATAAATTTTATATTTTCTATAAACTTGATCAAATTGTCAAGAATTTAATTAAAAAAAAAGTTAAAGCACCCTATAACATGAAACAGAGGGAGTACTCCATTAGGATATAATTTATGATAAAACTGATGTTGTTAAATTCACCTTCAAAATACTTAATAGTTATGCTTTTATATTACATAAATAATACAATTGTTATATTAGTAAAGTAATTACTAGTCGGTTGTTCCAAAAAAAAAAGCACTTTATATTTTTGTGCATCACTGCATTAGGAAGGAGAAAAAGAAAAGCGCTACCCCATGTAGAAAATCTCACGAAAAGATTGAAAACTAAGGCAAGGGAGCTTAAAATCTTAAGATTTTGGTGATAATCTGAAAAAAATATATATCTGATTTTCCAACTACTAATAACTTCTAATTTATTTTATGAATTGCAGGACTATATATTCTTAAAATCTAAATGAAAATCTGAGTTTATTGGGGGAGTTTTGACAACTAAATATTCAGACATTAAGATTACTCCTCAATTGACGCTCCAGCCGACCGCCTCGGTGTTGCCTCATCTTTTAGCCTCCAGGTTGCTGCTGGCCTTGGATCAAAATTCAATTATTTTACTCTTTATAAATCATTCGAATACGAGTCTCATAACATTTTTAATTTTTATTTTACTAACTAAGATGCCACATCAGCGAAACCATATATCCATACTGTCGAAGGATCGAAATTGCATGATTTTGTTTAGTCTAGGAGTAAGGATTTCTAGTACTATAGAGATTATTTCTAGTACTAGAGATTAAGGGTCTGTTTGGTTGCTGCCCTAAAGCAAATTCGCCTGAGCTGAAGCATGCCTGACATTTTCATTGGTCTGTTTGGTTCAAGTCCTGAGAAGGTGCTGGACACAGGCGTGGTTGCTCAGGCTCAGGCGCTTGAATTGGGTGGCCTGACTCAGGCAACCGAATTAAAGAAGGTAGATTAGGTGAGGTTGGAATATTCTAGTTGCATGGCGTCATTTCACAATGTTTACTTGTACTAACCGGTTGAGATTGCAATATTTTATATTTTCTTGTTTGCTTTCACATGGTTTCATGCTCTCATGCTTGTTTCTTGTCCAGGGTACCAACCAAACAACAAACCCTCTTATATGCCTGACCAGGGAAAACATTTTATAGATTTTCTTCCACCTAGGCATGCTTTTTTCTTAGGCTCATCACTCAGGGCACCAACCAAACAGGCCCTAAGGTCTAAGGAACTTGAACAAAGTCGACGTAAAGTTGAGGGACGTCAGGTGATTATACCATTGCAGGTTCCAAGTACGGCCCACATAATACAAAACAGTTTTCGGGATCCGACACGGGCTGAATCCGGCCCATCCAAACATGTTCTAGACATGGATGGGCCGCCGAATGGTCCGGTAATGGGCTCAATTTAAGACTGCTAACATGTGGATTAAACCAAACATCCTCCTCGTCGTCGGCCGTGTCATTGGCGGCGCCGGCGCCGGCGCCCCAGGAGTTCTCGACGCCGCCGGGGAGGCGGGGAGCTCGTCGTCTTCTCTCCTCCTCCTTTCTCCGTCCCCCGACCCCCGACCACCGCCACCCTTCCATCCTCGTCAGCGCCCTCTTTGCAGTGCCGGGCCCCTTCGGCATCCGCTGCCGACCCCGCGACCCGAGCACATCCGCCGGCGGCGCCTCTCCGCCACCTATCTCCGACTACTCAGTTCACGCTGGTTGCGCTTGCGCACATCCTGACTAAGGGCACCTGATAGGTAAAATATTTGGGACTTAAGTCTCAGTTTCCCCCACCTGAATTTCATTAAGAAATGAATTGTACAGGATTTTCCAGATTACATAGAGAACGGATTTCCATCTTGCATTTTTCCCCTCATATGTAGCATGGCAACATATCCTATGCACACAGGCCCTCACGTGTACACACGTGCACACCAACTAAAAAATGTCACCAAAAAATCTAGAAAAAATCATACACATACTTTCAATTGTATTACACCTAGGGTTAAGAGGTTAAAATCTTAACGTCAAATTCATTATATTTTAGCCGTAACAAAAAAAAAACAAAAAATCTGACAGTTTTAAGGTTGCAATTTTGTCAGAATTTTATCTTTTTTGTTATTCTCTATGTAGAATGAATTTGAAGATGCGACTTTGCACGTAGATGTAATACTATTGAAAGTACATGTATGATTTTTTCTAAAATTTTTTGTGATAATTTTTAGTTGGTGTACATGGTGTGTACACGCGAGGGTCTGTGTGCATAGGATACGCTCCCATGTAGCATATAGCTCATGTCAAATGTAAAGTTTGTTTTGATATGGAGCATGTCAGTATAAATTTTTTTTGCACCAAAATCCAGGATTTGGGACGTTTGAAGAACAAATTTTGTGATATACATGACATGACTTTACTATTTGCGTCATTTATGCAGCTTCAGCAGAATATTGCAGTTTGATAGTTTAATCTGTTTTCGTTTCATTATACCTGTATATTTCCAATTCTGTGTGTTACCGTAGATCTAGCAGAGAGCAGGATCTTTTGTTTCCCGAAGTGGGGCAGAATAGAGCACACCACACCATCACGCCCACCTCCTCCTTTTTAAAGGAGGGAGGTACTGGGGATTGTCACTGTGATCGTGAGCTGGAGTTTTGCATCTGTGTCAGCAAGCAAATACTCAACAATGTGTACAATGTGTGTTGTTTACCTTGTCAGTAATGGAACTTAATCTCATTATACTCGATTTTTATTATTTCCACCAGGGCAACAGTGATTAGTTCCGTGGAAAAGGACTTTTGGATACGGTTTAGCTAAAATGGCAAACATGAACATAACCACCATCTTGGAGAAGGTATGGGTTTCACTGATCTGCATGTGAACTGTATACCTGAATTTTGCTCTTTATTTATCTATGATTTGATTTTAACATCGTCGTGTAAAATTTGCTTTCAGATGACAGGGAAAGATAAGGACTACAGATATATGGCAACTTCAAATTTGCTTAGCGATTGAACAAAGAGGGCTTCAAAGCTGACCAAGACATTGAGCCAAAGTTGACTACTACCGTTCTTCAACAACTGGAAGATACTTCAGGAGAAGTCTCTGGTTTAGCTGTTAAATGGTATGCATTAAGTGCTTTCTCCCTTTATTGAGAGCGGTATCGTCTTATTAGCATTTTGTTTTGTTAATGGTGATCATCCGCTCCTTCCTGCAAGAATTCGCTGTAATTTGGATCTCGCTACTTTTGTAATTTATGTTAGGTGCAGTTGCTATTGTTAAGGATTTGCACTGCCTCATTCAATTTTCTGGATTAATATAGGACATTGATTATTACAGTAGATGTTATTTTTTTCTGTATCTCTCTAACTGCTGTTTTTTTCACTGCATCTTCATGTCTCAATTATTGCATCCATTGAAGCACATTTAGTATAGCAATTTGATACCCAATTGTTCTGTTATGTTTTCCACATTCCTGTGTTCTGCACTTCATGGTTTGCTATGTTAATCTGTATTATTACTTCTCTTGGTTAGCTTGGCTCCACTTGTCAAGAAGGTTGGTGAGGATAGTGTGGTGGAGATGACCAACATTCTTTGTGATAAGTTACTCAATGGAAAGGACCAACATCGAGACACTGCTAGTATTGCTCTGAAGACAATCATTGCGGAAGTTACGACAACAACACTTGCTGAAAAGATTTTGGTGTCTCTTGCCCCACAGCTAATCAAGGGCGCCACTGCTGTAAGTTCTTAATTCGTCTCCTAATTGTGGTAAAACATGCTTCCATATTAATCTTGCGGTGTGCGCCATTCGTACCATGTAGTTTGTATTTGCCGTTACAATTGAAAGTTTCAGCCTGCTAATTAAGTTTACCGCGTTTCTGATGGTGCATTCTACTTTTGTGAGGTGTAATACCAAAGAACACATTTACAAACCTTGTAACTATGTATTTATTTTTACCTCCCTATTCATCCAGTCTGGTTAGGTGTGCAACCATGTTTGCTTGCCATATTCAATTTAAGGCTGTGTTTGTTATTGGGGGTTGGGAACCCTTCTCCTCCGCATGGAAAACGGAGCAGTCCATTAGCGCGTGATTAATTAAGTATTAGCTATTTTTTTTTCAAAAATAGATTAATTTGATTTTTAAGCAACTTTTGTATAGAAACTTTTTGCAAAAAACGCACCGTTTAGCAGTTTGAAAAGCGTGCGCGCGGAAAACGAGGGAGAGGGGTTCGGAACAGGCTGAAATGAATTCAGCCTAAGTCATTATATGCTGGCTAGTATCATAACTCCAGAGTTATGTTATCAGCACAGAGAGCCAAAAAGAAAGTGTGTTTTAACATTTGTTTCTAGTTTGAGAGCCATGATAGTAAGTGGCATAGTACAGTACCTTCCGCTATTGCAGAAAGTTGGATAGTTTTCCAGACCAGTCAATATTGCTAGATTTTTCTAGCCACCATAAATTTCAAACCGCAATTTTAGCTACTGCAGCAAATACAATGCAAATGGTAAACCACGAGCAATCTTTTATTTGGATAAATTAATTAGGAAACTGTGATATCCTTCCTAACACAAGACAGATTTTAGCTGCAAATCTGGCAATGTCTAGCTATCCACATAACTATAAGAACACCTTTCACCTTTACGTCTTTACCTTAAAAAAAACAAGAGCGGTTTATTGAATTACTTGCCTTTGCCAGCACATCATGTTTAACACCTGCCTATAATAGATAAACCAATATACGGATTTTGGGGCTTAGTAGCACCAATATACGGATTGGGGCTTAGTAGCATATAACTGGTTTTGTTATACCATGGGATGTCTTGGGTAGGTTTGATAACTCTTCTTCTGTTGACAGGGAAAAAGTGCGGAAGTGAAATGCGAGTGCCTTGATATATTGGGGGATGTACTTCATAGATTTGGCAACTTGATCACAAAAGATCATGATTGCATGCTGACTGCCTTGTTATCCCAGTTGAGCTCTAACCAAGCAAGTGTTAGGAAAAAGTCTATTTCTTGCATTGGTAAGTCGAACTGATGTGCTGTGCTATTATATGTTGTTTTTTGCGTGGCTTGAGTTTGTAAAGGTGTTTACACTGACTGTTAACATGCTATTTTTCTTCAGCATCACTTGCTGCATGTCTGTCTGATGATTTATTAGCCAAGGCAACTTTTGAGGTTGTCCAGTTGCTTAAAAATAGAAGTGCAAAATCTGAAATTGCCCGAACAAATATCCAGATGATTGGTGCTCTAAGGTACTTTGGCTTTCAACTGTACATGTATGCCTTGAGTAGTTCTTTTGAGGAACAGGGCACACTCATTTGTTCGCAATAGCTTAGATGAGATCATGTTCACACTTCAAATTTATCTAGCAAGTTGAAATCCAGATATTTACTACTTTTTGGCGATTTAGTGGTTCTTATCTGGTGTGCTGCAATCCAAGTTTTGATTCAATATTTGTTTCATTTACAGTCGCTCGGTTGGATACCGTTTTGGGCCACACCTTGCTGAAGTTGTTCCTTTGCTCATAAACTATTGTACAAGTGCATCAGAAAATGATGAAGAGCTCTGTGAATACAGCTTGCAGGCTAGCAATTTTCTTCTTTCCAATGTTACATGACTAACGAGTGTTCTCTTGTATGACTCCTGTGGTTTTTCCCATAATGTAGGCCCTCGAGAGTTTTATGCTGAGGTGTCCAAGAGATATATCTCCATATTGTGAGAGTATTTTAAATCTTGCATTGGAATATATAAGCTATGATCCTAATTTCACCGATAGTATGGAGGAGGACACTGATGATGAGGCTCAGGATGAGGAAGATGATGAGTACTTAATTGATGCTCTTACAGTAATAGATAAATGTTATCTGTTTACTTGATCAAAATATGTTTTCGATATTTTCTCCAGTGAGAGCGCAAATGAATACACAGATGATGAGGATGCAAGCTGGAAAGTCCGGAGGGCTTCAGCAAAGTGCTTATATGCAATTATAGTATCTCGTCCTGAAATGTTGTCTAAGATGTATCTGGAGGTATATTGACATAATCATGTTAAACCAACATATGATTATCTGAAAAATGTTCTGTTTGATGGCATGTTTAAATTTCTCCCATGTTTCAGACAGTGTTTCTGTAATGATTTTTACCCATTTAACTTTGAGTGCCCCATTTAACTTTGATGTTTTTATTTTTTAAAATATATGCAGGCTTGTCCAAAGTTAATTGAATGGTTTAGGGAAAGAGAGGAAAATGTAAAGGTAATTGCTTTGTATCAATAATTTGTCAGTCTCTGAGTTGTCTCTGAGTTGTCTTTCTGTTTGTCAATCTGATGAAGCTTCTATATGATTCTAGATCGACATCTTTAACACATTTATTGAGTTGTTACGCCAAACTGGTAACATGACAAAAGGATAAGGTGACATTGATGAGTCTAGGCAAGTCTATTGTGCTCTTATTTGCATCATTATTTTCAACTTTTCCAAGTTATAGCATCTTATGCAGTTTATTGGTGAAATACTTTTACATGCTTGAAGTTGATTCTACCATGTTTAGAGCACTGAGCCTATGTTGGCAATCCTTTTGCTTTTCAGCCCTAGATGGTTGCTGAAACAAGAAGTACCTAAGGTTGTCAAATCCATCAATAGGCAGTTGCGTGAAAAATCAATCAAGACAAAGGTGAGCTCTTTGACTGCAAATCATGTCTATCGACCTGGTTCTGATTTTAGATAAAATTTCAGGTTGGAGCATTCTCTGTATTGAAGGAGCTTGTTGTTGTACTGCCAGACTGTCTTGCTGATCATATTGGGTCACTTGTTCCTGGGATTGAGAACGCTTTGAATGTTGGTGATTCCCATTTTGCTAAAAAAGATTATGTGCAGGACTTCTACTTGTTGCTAACTTGTTTTCTTTTTCATAGGATAAGTCATCTACCTCCAACCTGAAGATTGAAGCCCTTGTATTTACAAGACTTGTTATGGCTTCACATTCCCCAGCTGTGTTTCATCCATACATACAGGTAACTGTAACATATATCTTCAGTAAAATATACTTATGGCATTTGTCATCATTGTATTGATCGTAGTGAAATTCCAGGCTCTTTCTGGCCCAATATTGTCTGCTATTGGAGACAGATATGACAAGGTCACCGCTGAGGCTTTAAGAGTCTGCGAAGAGCTAGTTCGTGTACTTCGTCCAAATTCTGAGGTCAATCTTGTATTTCATATGTTGCTGAACAAAATCTAAGTTCTGTTTCTTGAAGCCTTTGTTTGTTTGTGATACAGCCACACTCTCCAGATTACAGGCCATATATTGGTCCAATCTATAAGGCTATCTTGGCCCGCTTGGCAAATCAGGATCAGGATCAGGATCAGGTTGAGCAAAATTAACACCTCCCTATCCTCATCTGTCTCTTTCTCTCTCAGGTCTCTTATGGAAATATTTGTTTCAGGAAGTTAAAGAGTGTGCCATATCTTGCATGAGCCTTGCGCTATCCACGTTTGGTGATGGTCTCCAAAGGGAACTGCCGGCATGCCTTCCCGTTCTTGTTGATAGAATGGGTAATGAAATAACTAGACTTACAGCAGTTAAGGTAAGCTACCGACTGCACCTTTACTGACAGATAGCATTGCTAATCTCCTTATTGATTCATTACTTATGAGCACTACTTGTTTTCTTTAACACAATTATGTTTTAGTCTTACTTTACTTGTTTTATGGAACACAATTTTGTTTTAGTCTCAGGTTGAAGATTTTAGTAGGAAAGAATAGTTAACTAAACCCACACCCCCAAGCGTATCTCAATATTCTGGTCAATGATGTTAAAGGAACTACGAGTGTTTTGATCAATGCTGGTTTCACATATCGGTAGATTGCCTGAAAGAGAAATTGTGTTGTAGTTGGTCCATTGTGATGCAAACTTAGTTGAAACGTATTTCACCAATCTATTTGCTCAGATCATGTCCTCAGAATTTTAATGATATAACTTATTATCACTTGCTTAATGAAACAAGATGGATTCATACTATCGGCGCAGCTGCTACTTCTGCCATCTCACCCATCTTTCACCTTGCTTTGATACCAATTGTTGGTAGGATCACTTCTGAACTACACTATAGTAAGTTGAAACTGAGACTGAACATGAGCTTAATATATATACACTATATGTATGTATGTACACACACACACACATACATACATACACACATACATATACATACATACATACACACACACACACATACACACATACACACATGACTACTTGGCTTACTGACAAGGGACTTATAGCTTATTGACCAAGGAAAAACAGACTTGACTTACTAGCAGGTCTTAGCTTATTGGAGAAGGAAAAAATCTATTGACCAATACAATGCTTACTAGCTAAGGAAGAACTACTACTAGTACTGATTCAGAGATTATATGGTAACACTCCATGCCATTTTACCTAACCTATTTTCACCATGTGTGCACCCCCCTCAATTCAAATTCAGACACCCACATTAGCTTAAACTTAGCAGAGTAAATTAAACAAGTGGCACCCCCCTCCATCTCATTCTAGCTCCGCCCCTGGGAAGAAGCGACATCAGAGGCGACGCTGTGATAGGAGAGACGCACCTGATGCGGGTGTTACGCTTGTTTCTTTGACCTTGGGCTAGTATGAAGGTTATTGGGCTTTTGTGGGATGGCCTACTAGGCTAATTTTCTTCCTCTCCCTTTTCTAATCGCTGCTAATCATGAAGGTTATGGCGTCCCCGCACCTTAGCGCTTTACCCCTATAGCGGTAATGCGTGGGTGGGTTGCCCCAGATCGCCTTACCATCTTGACAACCATGATGTTCGAATCTAATTGTTTAGCCATTTGATTTTGTAGCTGTGAATTTTAGAAGTCACAGTGCAATGTATCCTGTGCTGAACAACCGGCCGATTTTGAACAGTAGAAGGTTACTGAATTGAAGGAACAACTCCATAGGAGGAAGCTATCATAGGCTTGAAGGATGATCTTGTTAAGAAGCTCGCGGAGGCCCTCCACAGAGAGGTTACTGGTAGTGATGAAGAATTGCCTGTGGAGGAGCAGAAAGAGGACATAACTCTTGTTTCAACGGATTCATTAGAAAGAGGACTATGACTACGCACCGACATGCCATTTGAAATTTTTAGCTACTACTATTAGCTAATGCAACTTTAGCAGCTTGTCAGTAGGAAACGCCCTTTGACTACTCATGCATTTTGGTTCATGCATTTAGTGAATAACTTTTTGAAAGTTCCTTATTATAGAAATATGTTTCATTGTAGGATTGATCAACAATATTTTAATCCATACTTTTTTTGTTTTGTAGGAGATAGAACACAATGGACAACCTTTAGGATTAGTGAAATCGCCATCATCAGTAGTAGAATAGAATGAGCAGGTAATTTCTCCAATTCCTTGGAACATGCTATCATATTTCTTTATGATTATTTTTTGTTTATCTCATTATGTAGTAATTAGTTTAGTTTTTATAAAATATATATTTCTTTTGTCAAGTTAGTTTACTTGTGAAATCTCTATTGCTTTTTGTTAAACTCTGTGTTTTCCTATCCTTAACTGTTAAGCAAAATTTACTTTAGGACACTAAATATTTGTGGCTTATGCTTTAGGACATTTTAGTTTTGTGGTGATTTGCCCAAAAAACAATCCGATCATTATTTTAATTTATCTTCTTCAAAAGCTTATGCTTTAGGATATCTTTGTTTTGTGGTGTTTTGTCCAAAAACACTCCGACCATTATTTTAATATATCTTCTTAAAATGGTGAGAAAATATGGTATAAGAGAAATTTAAATTTGGTCCACCTTGCAAGATAATTCTTGAACAAATAATAGGTACATGCAAACATATTTTTGAAAAAAAATAAGCAAAACTTATCCCATATTTGTAAATATGTGAATTGCAAAAAAATTAAAACTGAAAAATATTGGTTGAACTTTAAACGTTTTAAAAAAACAAAATTTAAATTGTGAAAAAATATTAACCGAATTTATTTTTAATAACAAATTTTAAAAATAAAAATAATAAGATTAATGAATTTCGTAAATTTAAAGAACCGTGAAAATAGAATTTAAATGAATTTATTTTAAACAACCTTCAGTAAATTGTTGTTGATTTTTACAATTTGGGACAAGTTTAATTTTGCAAAATACGTTTTGTTGAGTAATATTTGTTATAACTAGATGATGCCCCGCGCTTTGTTGCTTGATATATATGTTAGATATTGTAGAAATGGTGAAATGATTTGGATTGAAATATTGTGAAAATGATTTGAGAATAATGATTTAGCATGTGTATATTTAGTTTTAGAATGAAATAAATTGTATATATAATTACTATGTGCTTGCATGTTGAGCTTTGTATGCTTAGTGGATTGATGTGGCATGCTTGCATGTTAGATTTTAGGAGTGCTAATAAATACTATGCTTGCATGTTGAGCTTTAGGTGTTTAGTGGGCATTAGCTTTATAGATGAATGGATTCTTGCAAAATGGCCTAGGATTACAATTGTCTTTTCAAAGTCTTTTTCTCTCTATTTTAAGAGGATATATGAAGATAATGGTCAATGTGTTTTCTAGAAAGTAGTGGCGGGTTTAGGAATTTTTTACTAAGTGTTCCTACTCCGCGCTCCAAATTCTTTTGACATCATGAACTCAATGTTTTCAGCCCATTAATTTTCTTTTCGTGTTGGTAGCCCCATCACATCCTTACCATCCGTAAGTAAAGTTTGAATCCCTTTCTAAAGGGAAGTAGAGGTGGTACTAGCTATGTGGACTACTTAAAGGAACCGCTCACATACGCTTCCAAGTTTGTTAGCATAACACAAACAAAGAGCTAGGTGTTCTTTTTGTGAAATATCACTACAACATGGCAACGGTGTTGGTCACCGGTAGCCTGGCATGCCTCGAACAGTTGGTCCAATCGACAACGTGTCGGCAGCGAGTAGCATGGCGCACTAGTAGGGGGCTCGCCGACTCGGGGATGGGTGGCACGATGGCAAGCAACAAATCGTGGCTGGGGCGACGTGGGAGTGTGGGCTTCTTTGTTTTTGGGTTGAGGGTTGGGCCGAGGGGTGGTAGGGGGGGGGGAGTGGGGGGCGGATTGTGTTTGTGGACTAGATTTTTGGGTGGTCCAAGCTGCTCGCAAAAAACTAGTGTTAAAAGTCCGAAAGAGCAAATGCCACAAATCTTAAGTGTTGTGGAGCAAATTTTGTTGAATTGTTTATCTAGTTAGTTTGTTCGTTTGTTTCTTGTTATTACTCATTTTCACAATTCATTATTCATCAATGTTTTCATTATTCAGATATTAGAAAGTATTGATGATTTGACACTAATAAGATATCTAATTAAGTGGATTCCTGCCCAACCTTGGGCCGATGGGGAGATTTATCTGTATTCTCCAGATACACATAGTTGGTCTTCTCAAGGCATGAAGATGAAATTCTTTATCATGGATGAAAAGTATAATATGGAAGCCAAAGGGATTTATAAGAAGATTGATGAGTTGGTCAGCCTGGCTAATCATTCAATGTTTCTGGCTCCAGTGTTTGCTTTGCATGATAAGAAGATCGGTCGTATTATTCTGTGTTATCCAAAATTTGATCAACTGCTTAAAGATTGGCTGCCTGCTCAAGCCTTTTAAAGGCCGGTTTATACCACCCATATGGATGCATCTTATAAAGTAAGTATAATTTTATTCATTCTATTTTTGTATCTCTCTCGGTTGATGTGATACTTATATCTTGCTCTATATACACAAATTCTATTTTTGTATCTCTCTCGATTGATGTGATACTTATATCTTTCTCTATATACACAGAGATGTCATATCTTACATGAGCAACATTGATAACTTGGCTGCAAGCTTAGGAAGTATTGACTCATATGTGTTGGAGACAAAGCCCGAGAGAATAAAGGTCATCCTTTTTCCTTTTGAGTCAAGAGAAGTAAATTGGCGAAAAGATTTTGCTACATTTCTGATAGAACATCTTCGGAACAAATGGAAATCCACCATGTTGGATCACTTCATCAACATCTTACAAAAAGATTTCAAGTACGTAAACAGTCATATCGTTTCTCTTATGCTTTTGCTTATATTAGTAACGGAAAAACTAAGTTGTGAGCAAAACTTTTATATACGTGTACTTATTGATTCAAAAGTAAATATTGTAAAATAAACTATGATGAAAAAAACTACAAAAATCAAATACAAAATTAAGTTCTAGAATTCAAATTTTGGCTTATAAGCATAAGTGAAATGGTAGGGCTGAAAGAGTCCTGTTGTGGTGGCAGCGAATCTGTCACCCACCATTGTTTTTTTGTAGTTCTTACAAAGTGCTCCCATATATTTTTTGATATTATGAAATAGTTTGGTATTTAGTTCAAACAAGTAAATACCATATGTTGATAAGCAAACTAGTGATACTAAGATATTTTCACCATTGTTTTTTTTAGTTCTTACAAAGTGCTCCCATATATTTTTTGATATTATGAAATAGTTCGGTATTTAGATCAAACAAGTAAATACCATGTGTTAAGGTAAGCAAATTAGCGATACTAACATACTCCCTCCTTCCCACAATATAAGGGATTTTCAGTTTTTGCTTGCAACGTTTGACCACTCGTCTTATTCAATTTTTTTTTGCAAATATAAAAAACAAAAAGTTGTGCTTAAAGTACTGTAGATAATAAAGTAAGTCACAAATAAAATAATTAATAATTTCAAAATTTTTTGAATAAGACGAATGGTCAAACGTTGCAAGCAAAAACTCAAAATCCCTTATATTATGGGACGGAGGGAGTATTTGATAAGAAATATATTTTTCTATGACATACTCCATTATAATATATTTTCTCTTATCCATACCAAAATATAGACATTTAGCTAATATCTCTAAATATATCATGTGTGGTTTCTTTTTATAGAATTGGGTACATTCAACATCATCCGTTGTTGCAAGATTTCAATCAGCTTTCTAACATGATAAGGATGACATGGAAAGAATCTAAGTATTTAACTGTTGAGAGGAGAGTATTGCTATCTTCAACATTAAATGCTATTAGGAACAACATTCCATGGACATCAGTGACAACTATGGATGCTGTTGTGAATGAATACATTTCTAAAGCAACAAATGACTCCTTGGGCCTCTTTATGGAAATTAAGAAGATAGCAGCACATTACATTGAAAACCGCCGAAAACTGAACAAAGAAAAAGGGGTAAGTATAAAAAACATTATATGTCATAATATAACAATGCATTATATTAATTCCAAATAAGTTTAATTTTAGAAATTAATTTATAATGTCATAAATGTTTGATTCTAAATGTGCATTTTTTGAGTGATTGTAGATATGCAATAGGAAACAGGTACATCCAATTGAGATAATCGAAGAAATCTGGCCAGGTGCTATTGAAGAAATTTATGAGCTTAGTTTAAAATCTGAGTGGCTCATGACTTGACTTGTGAATGGTGAGAGTGAAAATATCAGGTAAATGCACAGAACTATCTATGTGTTGAAAAATTCTGCAGGAACTTTCAACATAGTACCTACAGATCTTGATGGCCTAATTACAACTATGTGTTTTGTCCCACCTAGCATCTTGCTATACCCAATAGCAGTTTTCATTGCAAGTAATAGTATTCTTGTGTTCTTTTTGTCACTTAAAAATTAAAATTAGTTTTGGGGCTGATTACAATTGACTTCTTTTAGTACGTACAATTGTATTCTTTTTATACTACATAAGTGATTTTACATTTAACTGCATGTGCCTTTTGGGGGGCAACATACGATTTGCTTTAGTAGCCCTTATAAATGCTTGTAGGAGTACGCAGAAGCACCCATAAATTTGTTTCAGGGTGCCACTAATTTGAATGGTTCTAGATTTTTCATTTGCATGGTTGAGCTTCATTGCTGCCTGTCAAAACACAGCTGCAGTTACTTATCTTTCGTGTTTTCCCTTTTTCAGTGCTGAAGGATCTGGAGTACTCTGAAAATCATGAATGGGTTAGTGTTGAAGGCGATTATGCAACAATTGGGATTTCAGATCATGCCCAGGTACATATTTAGATGTTCTATCACTCTGAGCAATTTTTTTTTAATTTTGCGTAAACCTTATTTTGCTTCATGATACTGTCACCTTGCATAAAATGGATTTACCAAAATATAAGTCAGATATATAAGGATGATGATAGATACTGGGAGGGGCAGTTCCAACACTTACTACTAGAAGGGTAGAGGGTATCCATGACTGCAAGTGGGACCCTTTACATACAGATATAATATAAGGAATAAAATCACTCACTTGTATATGTGTGCCGTATAAAAATCGTGTCAACCATGTCCTTGTCGCAAGGCGAGCAACGCTTTGTATTTTATCAAGTCCTTACACTCCACATGGTGCGTAATGATAGATAGTGGTAAGATGGAAGATGATTTTACCCCATAGAACGTTAGTACTTGGATTTGGATGGGAGATGATATAAACCCCATCAAGATAGTAGCACGTGGTGGACTAGAGTGTAATGTGCTGAAATAAGAGAAGTGCATTGTACTCTAAATATTACAAATACGCGACTTGTAATATATAGAGTGAATATGGGTACAGTGATACAAGCCTACACAGTGCTCAATTAAATCGTGATTCACGCATGTCTCTTGGATTAGAGGCTACGGGAGCCTATTGTGGTCCTTTCTCACTATGCAAGTGATTAGTAGTTTTTCTTATAAATTAAATATGGACTCTTCTTACAAGAATATTTTTTTTTGAAGAAATTATAATTGAGAAATGATGAATTGATATGATTTATGAAATCGCATGCCATACATCCTTGCAATTAATACTGCTTGCTGAGTGCTTGTACTCACCCTTGCTACTAACCCTCCTTGTTTAGATGCAAACACGTTCGGCAAGCTAGCGAGTTAAATGGTGGGTTGGAAGAGCTCTACAGGAAAGATGAGGCAGAACTAGCTCTACAGCAAAAGATGAGGCATAACTTGGTTGAACGTTTTTTTGTTTCTCTTTTTTTTGGGTGAGGGGATCGCCTTTTGTTTCTATTGCATGCTATGTAACGGTGGAGAGAATCATTATCTTCACTATTTGAAAAATGATTCTACAGAAGATGATTGTTTTTTATGGCAGTGCTTGAAGGGCTCTGCTTCGTGGTAAAAAAGAACACTTGCGAAATGTTGGATCATCCTTGAACCATTTGAAACAGATTTGTTTTTTTACTGCCTAAAATCACTTGCAAAGTTCTTGAGCAATTTATTTTGTTTGTTCAGTTAAATCACATAGTTGGCCTTTACTGTTGTTCAAGTTTTTTTAATTGGTTACACATTTTTTTTCCGCTGAAAGTGCTAGATTGATCAGACGACTGAAGCATAATCACGCATGTTTTGATCCCTTCTGCTTCCATGAGCTTGCTAGTCGGTTCTATAATTTGTGATCAGATTGTTATACACTCACTGTATGCTACAAGGTTTCTGTGTATGTATTCAAATTTAACATTCATCTACTAAAAAAATATGTTGCAATGTGTAGGTCTCATCTAGTAGATTAAAAATCAATGCTAGATCACTGGAATTTTACCTCAAATTTTCATGGAAATCCATTTTTCACTCTGAGCTACAAAACCGGTTCTTTTTCACTGTTAACTTTTAAAACCTAGCATACATGCCAATATGCGATTGAACCATCGTGTTAAACCTGTTAGTCAAAACAGCACAATCCTATTCAAAAATGACAACGTTATTCTACTCCTAAAATGATTGTCACAATGAAATTTGATCAAATGTGATGAAACTACAAAGGTCATAAAATTACACCCACCAAAAATATCACGTATTTTTTTCAAACTAGAAACCAAATTTGTATTCTTCAATCAACTACAAACAAGTCGGGAAGAGAGGTGAACCTGTCCAAATCACCGAAAAAAATAGTCATTTTTACCCAAAATTTGAAACCATTTTTTATTTTTTAGTGAATTTCAGCCTAATTTGGTGTCCACTAAATTTGATTGAATTCATATGAAGGTTTCACTTTTTGTTTTCAAATTTGGTTGAAAATTTGGAATTTAAGTGATTTGGGTAATTCTCTCCATAAATAAATCATACAACCAACAAAAGTCGATGGCTGAGTCAAAGGACTTCAATAAACAAATATTCAGTCAAGTACATGGCATTTTAACATAAGATCCTCTGTTTTTCTCTTTTCTTCTAGTAGTATAAAATAGCTCTGGGTGAGGAGTTCAACTTAAAAGTCGGTAGGGTATTTGTCGGGTTTAAACCACAAGGAGAAATCAATTCCTTTCTTCTTAAGATCTTCTGTGGCAGGGCCAATCCGATCCAAAAGCTGCAAGTCAAGTAACAGGGTTGATCAGCAACTCCATAAAATTTCTCCAAAAGACGACCAAAAATTATCATTACTCTTGGTGATGCATACTACTACCGTCTCACAATAGGTTCATTTTTCACTAGTCCCACATATATCAATATAAAACCAAAAAGACTACAATAGCCCCACTTTATCAAATCCCAATACGGTTATTCTTCTTTTTATCTACTCCGAATGAATTTATCTCCTACTTTCACAAACTCCAATACAATGATTGCTCAAAATAAATGAACTTATTTTGAGACAAACGGGATGGGCAAAAAATAATCTTATTCTGAGATAGAGGGAGTACAGCATATACACACTGAACAGGCAGCCTAAGCCTGGAATTCTCCTACAACTAGTATGATAAATCTTTCGGTTGGAATTCTTAAGTTCGCACGGTTGGAATTCTTAAGTTCGCACAATTGGCCCTTTAGTGGTATGACAATGAATGCTTAAGATATGAGTATTGTGATCTTTAGCATGAGAGAACAAACTACTTGTTAAGACTTAAGAACAAACCTGATCATGTACAACACCATTGGAAACAAGGACAGAACGATCAAAGACGGTAAACTCCCCACCATCCATGCGTGACACCATCCCACCAGCTTCTTCAACTATCTGTAGTAAAAAAAAATGCCGAATTCATCAAGTAATTATACTGAAAGTGTGCATAACTTTAGCCCAACTATCAGGATTTGGACGATATGAAAAGGAACTCATAAAAATGGATTATATGACTGAAAATGTGTATTTAAGATTGAACAAAACAATCAAATCCTTGTTTTTACTGAACTTGGATATCTTTTCTTTTATCAAAGTTTAATTCCAATCATGAACTGCGGGTTCTGATAGGGTAAAAAAAGATTACCAGAACACCAGCAGCCATATCCCAAGGCTTAAGTCGGTATTCCCAGTAGGCTTCTGTAATGCCTAGGGCAACGTGGGACATGTCAGCAGCAGCAGAACCTAGTCTTCGTACTCCCTGAAAAAAAATAATAAAGGAGGATAAAGCAAAAGTCAAAGGGGGTAAATTTGTTGTGTAATAATGAAGGGAGAATTCACTTTACCCTGCTAATGTCTGTGTATTCCTTGAACAAATTTATGTTGGTCACCCATGCATCATCATGTTCATAACCAAAACCAGTTACCAGAAGTGATTGTTCCACCTAGAGAATCAATTAGAGACAATATCTTTCTTCAGTCAAATATTCTGACAAAATTAAATCACAAGAACTCTGGTTGCATCCAGAACCACTACAATCAATAGATAGATACACTGAGCGTATGATCAAAGAGAGATTCTTATGGCTTCATAAAAAAAGAGCTATTATGACACGCATATGCGTGCGTGCACATAGCAACATACTTGTATAAAAGAAAAAAAAAGTTACCTTGTCTGTCTTACTGACATGAATCTTTTGCCCATTACAATAAGCACCACCACCTTTTCAAGGAGAAAGGAAAACCTTAAAAATAATTCTGTAGTGTTCTATAAGGAAAAAAAAAGCATTGCAACTACAGTGTTTGACCAAAGATTATACCAGATGATGCTGAAACCGTACGAGTGCTCCAGCACATAGGACCACCACAAAATTCGACCTAAATAAGGGTATATGAAATGTGAATAATCCAGAGGGATGCAATGAACTAGCATGGGAAGTTTGATGATCCAATTGTGTCTCCGGCGTTTAATGAATCATATGATTCAAGAAAAACACATGCACATACATACCACAGTGGAAGCAGCAGGCTTTCCGCGAAACAGAACTCCAATGGATACAGAAAAGCTAGGGTAACCATGCGCAAAGTTTGTTGTTCCATCTAAAGGGGGTAAAATCACTGCATTAGATCCCCCAATGAAGAATACTACAGAAAAAGTCTAAGTTTCCACTGCAGTAATACAAGTTCAGATAAACCTTCAGTTAAAAATTAAAATCAATGTGATCCCAATCTTGTTTCAAATTTATGAACAGTTCAAATACTCTAACATCCATTTATATGAAAGGCTTTTTCCAACATCCATTCTCCTACCAATAATACTATATACTAGAACTAATAACATCCTGTTCAGTTACCAGCCCATGCAATCGAGCATGTTGCCTCTACTAAATCAAATATTTCAGATACTTAATCAAGAGAGCATATGGAATCACCCAGTATTCTTAAATGATTACTAAATGATCAAACTCCACTACAGGAACAATTGGTTAATGACTTCATCATAGTAGAATTACAAAGTACTTCCTCCGTTTCACAATGCTAGAATGACTTACGTTGTGAAACGGAGGGAGAATAAAGTGGCCAAACCTAAAGGATCAATGCACCAGAGATACTCCGACAAGGCATCTCCAATAAGTCCACCTTCCTCCCCAAGTATGAGGTGGTCTGGGAAGGTCTTCCTCACAACTTCCAGAATGACCGACTCACTCAATTTGTCTGTGCTGAACAAAAGTAGAGAACACACTAAATTCAAATGCTAATGTTTTATTTAGATTATAGAGATACATAGATCATAAAATATGATATTAGCAAGTAGCGACATCAAGTTCCAATTTACAAAGCATTTGGAGATTGTAGGATGATAACTTTTTTCTTTTGAAAGATCAAGAATGATAAATAACAACCAAGTTAGCATCAGATGGGGAAACAACAACACAAGTAAGAAGCATCCTTACTCTGTGACCAGGTCTGCAACTCCCTTGTAGTGAATATTGCGTGGCTTATTAACAGCTTCCATTATAACCTAAAATGAGGAGAAGACAATGTAAGCTGCCTTGAGAATTGGCACATCAAAAAATAGAGTTAAAAGGAAATGAGCTTAGCTCACTAGGTGAGATGTGTACCGGTGTACAACCCCACCACCGAAGTCCAATTTTTTTTTAGAGCTGGGATGATTACATTTCAAACGCCTCGGCCTTTGCAAGAAAGCCCAGAACACCTAAGTTTAATTTTTGTTTGGCTCGATTCTTAATTAAATAGATACCTAATTCATTCTTTGTATCCCACCAAAAAATTATAAGAAGGATAAAATGCACTAGCATGGAAACTCGAGACCACGGTCCATATTTTTTCCTTGTAGAGAAGGCTACGAAGATTCGATGAACCTTGAGCATTTATAACATTAGTGCATTACGAACTACCGTGATCTCCATATTTACTTGTAGAATAGCCAATATTTCAATCCAGTTCTCAACCTGACCTCTCTAGAAACCAATAGAATCACTAGTTCCTCACATCAAAGAACATTAACCATAACGGAAATTTCTTATAAGGTTTCACAGAAATATGCATCTTTTGTCGGAAATAACAAGATTAAGCCTGAATTTTATTACCCAACTGCTCAACCGTTCATCACAACCTCTGAAGCTCCAATTTTCTGTCAGAAACCAACCCAAGAAGGGAGAGCTACCAAGCAAAGAACCTCGAACGCACCTCGGCTCCGGCCCTGGCTGCGTCCTGGATGACGCCGAGGAGCTCCGCGGCCGGAATCGGGCCGGTGGTGGGGGCGGCCACCTTGGGGCACTTGCCCCTCGCGGCGGGCTGCTCCGACGCCACCGCCATCACGGGGCGAGCTTTGCCGGCCCTGGAGGCAAGCGCCCGGAGGCCAAGAACCGGTCCCCGCGGCGAGGTTGTGCCATTCCTGCGGTGTGAAGAGGCGGCGGCAGCGGCGGCGGCGGCGGCGGTGGGAGGACGGAGAAGATACCGTGCCATTGGTGCTCAGGCCTTCGAGAAGATGTCTCTGCTTTTTTTTTTTCTTTCACCTCTGCTTCGATTCCACATGTGTGTGCTTTTCACTTGCAAATGTACTCCATGGAGTAATAGTTGCTTTCATTTGGATTTGAAAAAAGAAATAGAACTTCTAAAAATAAAAAAAAAGTCTTTTTCTTTTTTTTTTAGAATTACACAGTACAACCTACCACTGCCATTGCCTCGCTGGCGAGGACGTGTCGACGGGTACGTCGCCTAAATTCGCTCCCATGAGGAGTCGAACCCAGGACCTCGGTGCTACTGAGGCTCTTATAACCACTAGATTACAGGTCATTTCGCAAAAAAAAAGTTTTTTTTCTAATAAAAGGGTAGTATATTTTTTTGCTGCTGGTATGGATAATGCCTATGCTGCATGAATCTTAATTTGCGTACGCGTGTGGCATTATCTTAAGGGCCTGTTTGGCATAGCTCCAGCTCCAGCTCCACCCCTCCTGGAGCTGGAGCTCAGCCAAACAGTTTCAGCTCCACCAAAACTAGGAGTGAAGTTGGGTGGAGCTCTCTCACAAAATGTACTAGAGTTGTGGAGCTGGGTTTCGGCAACTCCATAACTCCACTCCAGACTCAACTCCTGGAGTTATATTTAGGAGTTGGAGCTGTACCAAACAGGCCCTAAGATTCATGCGAGCTTAATTTCACTTTCGATCTTAATTATTTTACCTGGTTCATTTGATGATTTGCTTACTGAATGTCTCGGGTATTTAGTTCCAAGAGAACATCTCAGTTCTATTGGTAACCTTCAAGTAAACTGATATGCTCTTTTCCACCATTTTGCAGGTTAAGGATAGACCGCATGAGGCTCAAAGGGCACGCCAGATAGATATTTTTCAGTTTTGTCCTCTTGCAACTCCTGCACCTCTCTACTCACTATAGTAGCAGTGACCACACAAGCTTACCTGAGCTTGAGAGCTCAGCATTATCTTCTCAGTCTTGTTCTCCCTTCACAGTTTCAGATTTATGCTCTTTGGCTGTCAAGACTCGAGCAGTCTGTTGCCTTCACCTTGTGCTTATGTGAGTTAGTTTCTGTCTTCTCTCAATTATTACTAGTACTTGATTCTTCAGAGGTCATGTGGGTTTGACCAATTAGCACATTGCAGTTTTCTGTTTGATGTCCATGGTGAATTTGTGGATACACCTTATGGTTTTCAAACTAGTGTTTTGGAAACAACTTACATGCTACGCATTGAAATGTTTGCTTTCTGAATATCTTGGGTAGAAGTTCTCAAAGAACATACACCAGCTCTATTGATAACCTTCCAGTATGCTGACATTCCTTCTCCCACCATTTTGCAGGTTGAGGATAGAGGCTCTGTTGTATTATCCTGTCACAAGGCCAAGATGGAAAATTAATGCTAGTCAAGATGCCACGCAAGAAACTGGCCTGATTGATGCAGAAATTAATTCTTATGCCTATAGTGAAAGGAAGAACAGGAAATACAACGGCGCCTACATCGATAAAGATGGTGTATCAAGGACCTTCGATCGAAAGAAAATATCAAGAAAAAGGGGTAAATGCTAAATATATTATCTTTCCAGTTGTTCTTCCCTTTGTTCTTTTGTTCAGCACTTCTACATTCCATGAAGTATCTAATCAGTATATGTTTGCAAGTAAATTGTTTTCCCTCCTTCAAAATGATCTAATGTCTTCAGGTTTCATGCAGGGGGTGCTATGAGAGGCCGGGGCTGGAAGTATGGCTCTGGTTTTGTAGATGGAGTCTTCCCTGTGCTCAGTCCAATGGCACAGGATATCTTAGAATTTGTTCAGAAGGGAACAGACGTTGCAAAAATCTGGGAATCTTTGGATAACATTCCTTCCACACACAATCTTTTTGATGATCTTGTGAATGTCGCTGTCCAATTCCGTATGAACAAGAAATGGGATCTGATCATTCCAGTAAGTCTGAACCCTGCACATTCTCATCATTAACTAATCGGATATTCACATCTCAATGTTTCGGTTACCTTTGATCAGTATTTTGATGTTTAATTTGTCAAAAGTGGATATAGGTCTGCGAGTGGATCCTGTACAGGAGCTCATTCCGTCCTGACATCATCTGCTACAACCTGCTCATAGAATCCTATGGCAAGAAGCGTCAGCTGAACAAGGCAGAGTCAATCTACATGGCTCTTCTGGAAGCTCAGTGTGTGCCAACTGAAGACACCTATGCTCTTCTCCTGCGCGCTTACTGCAACGCTGGATCGCTGCACCGAGCAGAAGGCGTGATCTCGGAGATGCGCGAGCACGGGATTCCTCCAAGTATGCAGCTCAATTCCCCTATATTGCCAAGAGAAAGAAGCTTGTAGGTTGACATAGTTGCATAACTCATGTCAAGAACAATCTTGCAGATGCTACTGTATATAATGCTTACTTGGATGGATTACTGAAGGCAAGATGTACCGAAAAGGCGGTCGAGGTGTACCAAAGGATGAAGAGAGAACGGTGCAGAGCTAACACGGAGACATTCACCCTGATGATCAATGTGTACGGGAAGGTCAGAATTCAGAGCACAATATTGTTTTTCAGTTCACTGTAAAAATCTTTTCATTTCTCTTTCTTTGAAAACTTACCTCTGAAGAATTTCTGACATATATTTTTTCATGGTCAATTTGAAAGGCAAAGCAACCAATGTCATCGATGAAAGTTTTCAACGAGATGAAGTCGATTGGGTGCAAGCCTAATATCTGCACTTACACTGCCCTGGTGAATGCATTTGCGAGGGAAGGCCTGTGCGAGAAGGCTGAAGAAGTGTTCGAGGAGATGCAGCAGGCAGGGCACGAGCCTGACGTGTATGCTTACAATGCCCTCATGGAAGCTTACAGGTGAATATCAAATTAGCATATCAGTCATCCATGGCTTCACGAGCCCAAGTTTCTGATCACAAAACTCCAGTGAAATTTGATCAGATTTTTTTGTAAGTTTGAATTAGCAATTAATAGCTTGCAACCTTTCAATGCACCCATAGCCGCGCTGGATTGCCGCAAGGCGCATCGGAGATCTTCTCCTTGATGCAGCACATGGGGTGTGAGCCTGACAGAGCTTCATACAACATCTTGGTAGATGCATATGGAAGAGCCGGCCTTCATGAAGGTACATTTTGCAGTTGGTGATGGAAAATTTTGGCCAATTTTGTGGTCAAAGAAACCAAGAACATGAGTTCCATGATGCTACTATGAACTCTGAAAGTGAAAGCCTCCGAATATATATAATTTTGCCCCTGTCTGAACTCTGAATATACTCTCTCCATTTCAAAATGTACGACGCCGTCCCAAAATAAGGCAACGGCGTTATACATTTTGAAAAGGAGGTAGTAGTATAATTTTGCCACTGTCTGAACTCTGAACTCTGGAAGTAGTGACAGCTTCTTCTGAGAATGTATAAATATTCGGTGTTTTCAGATGCGGAGGCGGTGTTCGAGGAGCTGAAGCAGCGGGGGATGTCGCCGACGATGAAGTCCCACATGCTGCTGCTGGCGGCGCACGCCAGGTCCGGCAACGCGACGAGGTGCGAGGAGGTGATGGCGCAGCTGCACAAGTCCGGCCTCACCCCGGACACCTTCGCGCTGAACGCCATGCTCAACGCCTACGCCCGCGCCGGCCGCCTCGACGACATGGAGCGCCTCTTCGCCGCCATGGAGCGCCGCGGCGACGCCGACGTGGGCACGTACAACGTGGCGGTGAACGCGTACGGGCGCGCCGGGTACGTGGGGAGGATGGAGGCGGCGTTCGCGGCGGTGGCGGCGAGGGGGCTCGCCGCCGACGTGGTGACGTGGACGGCGAGGATGGGGGCGTACGCGAGGAGGAAGGAGTACGGGCGGTGCGTGGGGATGGTGGAGGAGATGGTGGACGCCGGCTGCTACCCGGACGCCGGCACGGCGAGGGTGCTGCTGGCGGCGTGCTCCGACGAGCGCCAGGTGGAGCAGGTCACCGCCATCGTCAGGTCCATGCACAAGAAGCCCAAGACACTCTTCACCATATAATAATAAAAAAAAACCCAACACTTTGCATATATAATTGCATTATTATTACATGTATAATAATACAGTATAAATGTACATTACAATACTACCTTAGTTTTCTTTTAATGTATGCCGCCATTAATTCTAAAGTAGCGGCTAACCATTCATCTTAATTATTTTAAAAAAATATTGTAAATATGCTACTATCTCTGTTTTTTAATATAACTAACCAACGTCATATATTTAGGGATGGAGGGAGTAAATTGTAAGTCATAAAACATGTGACAACAAAATAAATAAAATTTATATATTTTTAATAGCATGAATTGTCAAACGTCATATAAAAAATCAACGGTGTTATTTATTAGAAAATGAAGGGAGTATATTATAGCATAGAGTATAATAGATTGATTTAGCATCAACTTTGTTGCTGTAGAGTGTAAAACGGTGTTGTCTTGACAAATATAATGTAAACAGGATGTGTATGCAATCAAACCTTAAACTTTTAAATCATTTTATGTATAAAAATATATGTGATTTGGTCAAAAAGATTACTGTCATGTGGTTAGGATAGGAGTATATTTTTTAACAAATTATGAATACATTGGTCAGATAAGACAATTATTAAACCGCACATTCTTTCTATTCCTTAGGGGGACTTATTTTAGTCCCTCTCAAAAACCATAAATGCTTGTCCCTACTAACAGAAACTATTAACAGTAATAGTTTTGACTCGGCCCACTAACAATTTTTGAACTGTTAAACTACGATGAACGAACGAAAGTAAATGCTTACAAAACACTCAGGCAACTGATCTTTTTAAATATTTAAAAAAGTTTCATAAAAACAAATAGTCTAAATATAATCTCTAATACTCCCTCCATTCCATAATATAAGGCACAACCACTTTTTTTTAGATGTTCCATAATATAAGGCATGCATGTATGTAGGCAATTAACTATGACCCCTTCTTCATTAAATTATTACTTTTTTAAATCCTCCACTCTCATGTTCTTTAATTCTATTAGATACATGCATTATATTTATTAGGATGATCCAAACTACAATATGATAATAAATATTTTCTTGGTCTTTGGGTTAGGGGTGTGTCGGTGACATGGGACCGGGAGTATCATGACTTAAAGACTTGAGGCAGACGCGATCACCCACGTGGCCTAACCCCCTCGGGGGGGGGGGGGGGGCCCGAGGGTGATACGGCCGCCCTTCTCTTTGTCTCCCCGAGGGGTCGGACCGCTCCCGTCTCGGCCCCGAGGGCCGAGGCGCCCCGACCCCTTGTGGGTTTTGCGCCGCGTATATGGGGTAGGTGAGCATAGCGGGGCTCACCTAACCACATTTATTGCGGTTTGGACGAGCGCGTCACGCCACATGTAACGCAGTGCAGCGCACTCGTTTATCCGGTCTGTGACCAGTCACAGACCGATCAGATCGTGGGTTAGGTGGCGACAGGCGGTCTGACGCACGCCTCGCCCCATCCCGTCAGGATGAGAGCCTCCAAGCACTCGTCCCTAGCCGGAGCCGGCGTGTTAGCTCCTGGAGATGGCACGTTGGTCCCGGTCAGATATATGCCAGGCTTCATCCTAACCATTACAGGCAAGATATTGTATGAAGAAGGGCGAACATGCAGATTGTTAAACTGACACGTGGTGGACAAGAATGACCGATTTGTGACCGGTCTGACAATGGTCATGTCGTCAGCAGACAGCCATGTTCCCACGTCGCGCCTGCTTCCGGCGGAAGTGGAGGTAGGTATGGGCCGTCCCATCAGAAGGTCATTCGGACGGCAGCCATACAAATCTCCGTCCATTAATGAAGAGAAGTCAAGTTGGAGGGAAGAGAGGATGAGTCCCCACACAAAAGAAAGAGAGGGAGAGATGGTGCATGTGGTATCCCCTTGAGATATAAAAGGAGGACCTTGCCCACTTAGAGAGAGGGGAAAAACGATCCCAGAACGATCGGGGGCTGGCTCGCACTTTGTAGCTTCTTCATACATAGATCCACCAAAACACAGGAGTAGGGTATTACGCTTCTCAGCGGCCCGAACCTGTATACATCGCCCGTGTCTTGTGTGTTTCCATTCTCGCGAACCTTCCACATACAGACTAGGAGCTTAGAATCTCACCCAGGGCCCCCGGCCGAACCGGCAAAGGGGGGCCTGCGCGGTCTCCCGGTGAGGACCCCCACGCTCCGTCATCTGGCGCGCCAGGTAGGGGGTTCTGTGTGTGTTCTTCTAAGCTCTCGCACTCTTTCGTGTGCGCCAAGCTTTTCCTGTTCAGCCCAATGGCTGAACAAGCAAAGGCGCACAACCTCTCTCCGAGTGTTAGCGGTGACGACGGGGAGCCAAACCCACGCCGTCGTGCTCGTACTCCACCGCCCCCTCCACGCCAAAGTCCTAGACGGGAGGAGGCGCTCGAGAGGGTCGAAGGATCCGCGACTTCGACATCCACGGGTGATGGAGGAGGGCGCCGAGATGGGGAGCGTCGCCTCCTCGTCTATGGCGACGGCAGCACGCCCCAGGGCGCGCTCCAAGCTGCGGGCGCGCTCCTACGTCACCCGCCCGTTGTCCCTGACCCGGAGTCTCCAGTCCAACGTTGGCTGGACGACGTGGCCAACTTGGTCATGACGGCACGGCAGCGCCTAGGTGCTGGTGGGCGGTCCTCCGCCACCAAGACCTCTGGCGCTGCTACCACCGGCTCCGTGTCGTCAAGGCGGAGGGCACGGCGAGCGGCGGCTGTTGCTCGCCATTCGGCCGCCACTCCTTCGTCAGCACCTCCGACCCAGGAAGATCTGCGTGGGGGGCCGGATGCCCGCATCAGTATCGAGCGCCGGCGTAATGGCCGACGTGCTGCCCATGCAACGGAGGGCGCCTCCTCGTCCGGAGTGTCACATCAACACGGACGCGGGGATCAGCCCTCCGTGCCCCCGGTTGGTGGTGTCGGCTGTAGAGCCTTTGTGGCGAGCCTTCGGAACGTCCGTTGGCCCCTAAGGTTCCGGCCCACCATCGCCGAAAAATATGACGGGAGCGTCAACCCCGCCGAGTTTCTCCAGGTCTACACAACCGGGATCGAGGCCGCCGGGGGTGACGACAGGGTCATGGCGAATTTCTTTCCCATGGCCCTGAAGGGACAGGCACGGGGTTGGCTAATGAACTTGCCACCCGCGTCCGTCCACTCTTGGGAGGATTTGTGCCAACAGTTCACCATGAACTTTCAAGGCACATATCCGCGCCCAGGTGAAGAAGCGGACTTACATGCAGTCCAGCGAAGGGATGATGAGTCACTTCGCTCATACATTCAGCGGTTCTGTCAAGTCCGCAACACCATACCATGCATCCCTGCACACGCGGTGATCTACGCGTTCAGGGGGGGTGTGCGGCACAACCGCATGCTCGAAAAGATCGCCTCCAAAGAGCCCCAGACTACCGCGGAGTTTTTTCAGCTCGCGGACCGAGTGGCTCGTAAGGAAGAGGCATGGACCTGGAACCCCTCCGGTTCCGGTGTGGCAGCTTCGGCCGCCCCCGGATCCGCTGCTCGGACAGGGCGGCTGTCACGCCCAGAAATTTAGCCCAAATTTCCAGACTATTTTGTGTATTAAATCCCTGTCCAGGACCAGCCAGGGTACACAAAACGACAAGTAATATACAGTTCCAAACGTAAATAAAGCGTAAAATACTTACAAAAGAGGCACTTAGTCCTCGCACCGAAACGAAAACAGCAGCAGCGGAAAAAGGCGATCCTAGCGGGGCTTCAGCTCCACTCCACAGGCAAAACTCAACTGGGGTCTGAGCCTTGGTCCTCTAACTTCGTCTTCAGCTCAGAAGCACTACACTTCTGAAAAGGGGGAATAATAGCAAGACTGAGTACAACCACCGTACTCAGCAAGCCACACCAACGATGCAGACGTGCAAGGGGAACACAAGGACGGTTTGTGGCTATTTGCATAAAGGCGGTTGTAAAACATTTTATTGAGCAAAACAGTAAAACTGTTGAGTAATTAAAGTAATATTGAATCTCCACTGATCAACGCTACACCACGTTGAACAGGCCCAACCAACCCACCTAAACTACAGTGTATTGGGTCGATTTATTAAGGTGGGACTAATCACGGTGAATCTGGTCGACCGCCCATAACCGCGGGCACGGCTATTCGAATAGTTTTACTCTGATCAGAGGTGTACAACTGTACCCACAAGACACAGCCCCACGACACGTTTCCGTGCGCCGACATGCCACCACGACATACCGGAAAGAGGCCGTGACAGGACCCTTCGCATAACCCCCTCTAACCAAGCACACCACACCTCAGGTTTCACCCCCACTCCTCGCAAGGCAGCGGGCAGTCCCCTCTCGTGCCTAGGTGAATCCGGAAGCCGCATAGGCCGTCGCAGGGCCCATCCAAACTCCATCACGCCCACCCTTGCCTGGATGCGTCGGCTAGAGGAAAGCTACACTACAAGCCCAGCCGTTGCCCACGCTGGCTTGTGGTAAGTACGATAAGTTCTTCCAGGGCATCCCGCGAACCGGTCCTTAACTGCCATGGGTGCGACCAGCAAAACCATGCACCCACAGCCCACCATTCAGTCGCATTTTAGTTGGATACTTACGACCATGAAGCATGGCCAGATGTCTCGAGCACGCAGCTCACTCTGATACTAAAAAGGTCTAATACTGCAATTATCCCATCAACTGAGCTAGTGGTAATTAAGCATGGCTAAGCATAAAGTTCTAGCTAGGTCATCAAAGTAACACAAGCTAGGTGATTTATTACCCAAGGATGACAAAGGACAGATATCAAGTAAACATGGCACAAGCGAGCAGATAGGTAAAACCCTGACCCCATGTAATTAGCAAAACATGCATATTTGTTTGCAAACAGTAAAACATTTGTAAATTAGGATCAACATGCTCAAGGGGAATGTGTGACTTGCCTTGCTTCTTCACTTTGATCTTCCGAACTCTTTTCCTCGCGACCGCGGACTTCCGAAACGACGGAAACTACACGCTGGCACGCAAAACGAGAAAAAACTCTAATAAAAACCAAGGAAACAGTACATAAAAACTAAACAAACATGTAGAGCTCAATTTTAGATGAATTTTGCAAGTTGAATGGCTCAATTCGGAGTTCGAATGAA